AGGATGACTAGCCTAATCGATTCATGGGATTTAAGAATCGACATCGGTTCAATTAAAATCGAGAAATCTGTATTTTTTTACCCAGCCCTAGTCTTTACTAGCTTTAGGCCTTGAAAGTGGTAGTTGCTTAAGCATTTTAGGGGTGAACCAACCTAGTTTAAACTGTGTTCAGTCTGCCATCATTTGGAAATCAAACATTTCTCATCAAATTCTTCCAAGAGCAAATAATCTTTTGATTGTATATAGCTCTATACTCTTACTGTATGTCAACTATTGACTCATTTGTTTTTGTTTTTAATTTTGTTTTTAGGAAGGAATTTTAGGATGCATTTTATCTGAGAACAATTTATGAAAAAAATTGTTCTCAGATAAAATGCATCCTAAAATTCCTTCCAAAAAACTAAATTAAAAACAAAAACAATAACTATTAACTAAGAGCAATAAGACTTTCCTCTGGACCCATTTTGACAACTCCATGAATCAACAGCAAAACAAGAAAACTGGGAATCTCGACTGCCAAATTTCTGCTTTGTTCTGGAGATCCTAAAACTAGTTATTCCACTTTAGGAGGCGAGAACAAAGTTTGCACACAAACATACACACCTCCATGCACACGTACAGTATGAAAACAGCACATATTCTTCAAGATAAGAGTGTGAAGCCTGAAAGCACCTCACATATTCTAAGGACAGGATGTTTACATGTGTTATAAGGAAGCATATGTGCAAAAACGAGAAGTCATATCAGGCAAAAGTCACCAAGTCCATGCAAATGGGGTCAAAACTGCATCAAACCTTGAACTTCTCAGATGTATCTCTGAACTCCCCCTGACATCCGGTCTAATTGAGAGTACTGTGAGACAAGGGGAAATGCTAATTTACATTTGTAATAGTTTGGAAACCTTTGTGAACACTTTGGCAGTCTGTTTGAGTGCTCAGACATGTCAAAATCTTGGCTTAACCAACTACCACTGGCAAATGACGGATGAAGTGTTCAGGAAACACTTAAACGTTAACAGAAGATCCCTATGTTTTAGTATTATTAGGAAAAATCGATTCTGATCAGTATTTGCTGAACGCAATTATATCGATACAGTAGCGCAATACTGCAATATTTAATTATAAAACAAATTATCTGTTTACTTCCAGGGTTTTCTCTGAGTTTACTCTGATAATTTACATTGCGTATTACATCCACAAGATGCTTTGTTGTCATGCATTTAACAGCAAATTCAAATGAACATGGCTTCACCATCACAACCGGTTGTACACAACGCTCTGTCTTCTTACAAATCGAAAGTCTGGGTACATTTCGGTGTCCAACTAAAAGCGAATAGTAAAGATGTCGAGAGTGGTGCATGATATATCGGCCTCCGATATAATATCGGTCAATTTTTTACACATCGGTATAGTTCCGATGTCAAAAGTACGGAAGCCCTGAACCGCAACCTAAAAAAAAAAAAAAAAGTCAGTAAAAAAAAAAAAAAATCTGTAAAAAAAAAAAAAATCTAGCATTTCGAGATTAAAGTCGAAATGTTTCGAGATTAAAGTCGAAATGTTTCGAGATTAAAGTCGAAATGTTTCGAGGTTAAAGTCGAAACATTGTGCATTCATAACAGTGCGCGTCCACTGGCTCAGAGCGCGCGCGTGTGCGTGTGAAGTCGAACTGCCATGGATAAACACAAAATAGTAGCTTTTTACTTTTATCTGAAATACTTATCTTACTTTATCGTTATAAAATATAATGCGCCGGAATAGACTTTAGCCTATAGGAAAACCAACACGGAAAACACTTTTTAGACTGGATGGAGAAATCCAGCTTTATGAATGAATGAATGAATGAATGAATGAATAGGGCATTTATATAGCGCTTTCATATATGCCTACACTCAAAGTGCTTTACAATCATATCAGAGAATCTCTCCTCAACCATAAGTGGTTATTAAATCTTAGGAAATCACAGGATCCAGCCAAATGATGCACTTAAAATGTATCCAGAGCGTATTTACGGTGAAGAGGGAGACCGAATAGTTACTGTTGTGTTCTCGACCCAGATAGTGTTGACTAGACGAGCACGAAAACACCTCAGAAACACTGCCACTAGCACGTGTGACGTGTGTAGAATTTTGTTGAAAGCCCAGATAAAAGTAAAAAGCTACTATTTTGTGTTTATCCATGGCAGTTCGACTTCACACACACACGCGCGCGCGCTCTGAGCCAGTGGACGCGCACTGTTATGAATGCACAATGTTTCGACTTTAATCTCTAAACATTTCGACTTTAATCTCGAAACATTCCGACTTTAATCTCGAAACATTTCGACTTTAATCTCGAAATGCTAGATTTTTTTTTTATAGATTTTTTTTTTTTTTACAGATTATTTTTTTTTACTGATTTTTTTTTTTTTTTTTAGGTTGCGGTTCAGGGCTTCCGTACAAAATAGAGGCGATGTGAACAAGCCGATAATCATTCCTGTGTATTTGATGAGTGTGTAGATGTGAATGTGGGGGCGGGATGTTTGTTTTTGCACGAGCGCAAAACTTAAACATACGTTTCATATGTTTAAATAATGTTTTTTTTTTATTTCATCTATGTTGATTAGCTATATGAAAAGGGAACCGCATGAGATGAGTAAGGATCATAAGATGCCCAATAGCCTATATCGAAAACATTTGAATTGGGTCAGACATAATTTTGGCCACATATTAAGTTTTGTTTTGTAGAAAGCCTTTCTTTAAAGTGAAATTCATTTTATATAAATTGTACCTTAATTTTTATCAATGTTTCATCAACAAATTGCATGGATTAATAAATAAGAAGGAAATATAGTAGACAATATAATTAGGACATGGAGGCGCCGGCGAGTGAACTGGAAGCGTCTCATACCGAAAACACTAGTTTATTAATAAAAATTTCAAATGTTTAATGCATAATCCTTACTTTGGCCGGTTCTTTGTGGCAAAGTTTTAGCTCCTTTACAAGATTAGCATAGTACTCCCCTTGAGACTTTCTGTTCTTTAAGATTGGGTGCGCACAAAACCTTCTTTTCTGTCTTTTAAAGGGGTCATGAACTGGCTTTTTAAATTTATTATATCGTTGTCTGCGGTCAACTTATGACGTTCGATTGGTTTTTGCATTTAAAAACATCAAAATGAATAAGTAATAGGCTATTTTGTAACCTAGTTTTGACCCTAGCTGAAAAACGCTGGGTTTTCATGGGCGTCTCACACTGTCAACTTGGAAGTAAACGCCCACTGCTGTGAGTGGATAACAGTTTTGCACATTATAATATATTGTAATGCGCGAATCGGTGGGCGGGGCTAAACCAGCCGTGTTGAAGTAGGCGTTGATCTTCTTCTGCGGGGGTGGTGTTTTATCCTCTTTGACATCATAGTTCCCCACTTTTAAAAACGAGTCGTTTGCTGAGGCTGGTGTCAATAAAAGCTTTTATTGGACCAACAAGGACGTTTTCACTTCTGAAGCTTACTCGATATTCTTATAATATGATGACCTCTTAGATGTCAAAAGCTCAAGGAAAATTTGATTTCTCAGTTCATCACCCCTTTAAAGGAAATGAAAAGCTCGTCTTCACTGGATGATGATGATGATGATGATGATGATGATGAAGTGTTCATGTCTTCTCAGCTGTCCGCGCGAAGGTTTTGGAATGTTGAAATTCCGAACGTCGCAAATTCGCGTCGCGACCATGTGAATGGTTTTGACGTGAACTATTCACACATGAACTATTCGCTTTTCCGTTACGTTTTCATTACGTGTCTGGTGTGAAAGGGCCTTTATTTCCTCATTTTTTGTAATGCCTTTGAATAATATGGGGAATATGAATCGCAATACTTGCTGTATCGCAATATGTTAAGAATCACAATAATATTGAATCGTGGCCCAAATATCGCAATACTATCAAATAGTCACATTTTTGCCAATTCCCACCCTTAATTATTAGCATAAGCATTTCACAATGATGGTACAAAACTGTTTGTTTTGAGAGCCAATACTTAACTACCAATAATAGTTCACTTCCCACAATGATTGTTTATAACGTTCAAATAACGCAAACGGTACAGTCTAGAGATAAAACGTTTTTTTAACAAGAAATTAAACGTCTTTAAGAACATTTTACTAATGTTCTTGGACAATTTAATGTTACCATAGTCAAAACCTAAAGCTTTCTGACAACATTAATTTGTTTATGTATGTGGTGGATCTATGTAGACTTATGTAAAGTAGATATCCGGTGTTAAATTGCATTTGACTGCATATTAAACACTCTCTGCCATATTTCTCTATCTCTCTCTGCTGGTTCTGCAGACAAAGATCAGCAGGGAAAATACAATTATGCTAACAATAAAGACTAAGAACTGCCTAACATCAAAGGCTATGTGTTATTAGTGGGGTTTGAAAATAACCAACCATTATGAGTTTTCTCAAGAAACATCATGAGATTCAGTCATTTGTTCAGAAAGTTTCTCAAAACACGTCAATAGACTGTTTAAGGTACTTTCTCATTTCATCAGAAATGCGTATGACATGCCTTTAACAGTTTAAGATTAAGACACTTCCTGAAAGTGCATCTCACTATAATGTCAGCAAATTCAATGATCTGAAGCAACACAAGAAACTTATATTGCTATCTTAGTTTACACCTGGTGTTTCCACTAATCAAAGAGATATTGTGTAATCGACAAATTAGTCAACCTGCGTGTTGAAACCAGAAATACATGACATGTGCAATGGAAACTGGATGTTTTGTAATGTGTACATTGTACATGTGTGAGTGGCAGATATAAATTTCATTCATTGTGAGCGTGACAACAAGGAAATATGTTTTACAGCATCAGCTACGACCTATATAGGGAGGGTCAGAAGGTAAAAGATGATATCATATCACAACACTAAACCGAACCAGGAAAAAAATGCACTTTGATTAAGGAACAGAAATAACCACAAGAAGATCTGTTCCTCAAACCAACCCAAAACCTCTAATTACAGACAGACGGTCAGAATATATTACAGTCGCACCCATAAAACTGCTTGAGTATTTATGAGCAAAGTTTGAAAAGGACATATCAAAGAGCTTTAAACGTAGTCGCTAGCCTAAAATAACCTAATTAGCTACTATACAGGGGCATTTGATCAGATAAAACCACCCAAGTGTCAAGGCTGATATATCGGCTGATTTTTTGATAAGCCAATATGTTTTTGCTTGGCTGTTGTGTCTGAAGCTTTTAATTTGACAGTGTGTGGGACTATTATTTTGAAAACTTCTGAGCATCCATTCTCCATATAACTTTGAATAAATCACTAGACGGAGCTGTTAAACAAAGTCAGCAGTATACGAAAAACTTTTATAGCGTTTGCTTTACGATTAGTGACAGAAAAGCAAAGGCAATTATACTTTCTCATCTCGTCAGCATTCAGCAAAAGCGCATTTATATAATTTTAATTAAACCGTGCATAATCATATTTATATCGGTGACCTTGCTGTCTAAGCCAAAAAAAGAAAGGTCAACCACTAGCTAAATCGGCAAAATTGTCAACTTTTAGGAGCACTCTGACATGCACATGACCTGAAAGCCACAAATCTCTGATTTCATGGACTCTTTAAGCTATTGCCAAAAACACATTATAGCAAACAAATTAAACACACCCCATATACCCACCATTTGAATATGTCAGAAACCACATGTGTCTTTAAAACACATAGCAGGGTGGGGCGCAGTTTCAACTTCCTCTCTGTAAATCAAACACCCGACCACCTGAACGCAGCGGGAAATCTCAACACGCATCACGTCTCGTTGATGTATCTGTGCAAACCTAGTGGCTTTATTCAAATGAACGCAGGCAGATGCACCTGACAGGACTTACCTGCAGGATCTGCTGCTCTAGCTGAGAGTTGGCCTTGCACAGCTCCATGATGTGTCTCAGCAGAAGTTTGGTGCTCTCGGTTTTACCCGCGCCGCTCTCACCACTGCGGGACAAACAGATAAACTTGTTAGACTGTTAGTATAAAAGTGGTACAAAGGCTAGTGTTACAAAAGGGTAACTCAAGTGCATCTGGATACAAGAGCAAACAAAAACAGACAAAATGAAAAGATTTAATCATGTTATTTAAGAATTTCAAATACTACAACACACAATTATTTGGTTTGCTTACAAATTCTTATTTTAAATTAAATAAATTTAAAAAAAGATTCTTTATGTTGTATTTATATTGTTTATATATATATATATATATATGAAGAGTTCAGATGCAAAAGCCTCTAAATGCCATTTGAAATTTTCTTCTTTAATGATGATTTTTTATCAAACTTGTATATTTAAGTTCAGTAATTTCACTTAAATAACAATTAATAGGTAATTATCATTGCCATTTAAGTGAAATTACTGAACTTAAATATACAAGTTTGCTAAAAATCATCATTAAAAAAGAAAATTTCAAATGGCATTTAGAGGCTTTTGCATCTGAACTCTTCATATATATAATATATGTGTGTGTGTGTGTGTGTGTGTGTGTGTATAACTATTATATATATATATATATATATATATATATATATATATATATAAATACACACACATGCTTGCATATATTTAAGAAATATTTTCATGTATATACTGTATATAAATATATATATATATATATGTATATAAAATTTATGTTATATATAAATATTTTATATATGAATAATATTTTTTTCTTAAATATGCATGCATGTGTGTGTATTATATACAATAGTTATACACAGTGCACCCACATATATTATGTAAACACAAACTTTTATTTTGTAATCGTGATTAATCATTTGACGTCCCTAATATATATACATGCATACATACATACATACATACATGTGTGTATAAACAAGACAGCACAGCAATAAAAGCATTAATATATATATATATATATATATATATTAGGAGTTTAACAATATATTGTACCATAATACGTATATCACAATGCAAAAATGCAAAGATACTTATCGTAGATAGTGACAATATGTATTGTGGATAGTTAAAAAAAAATCTAGTTTTCAGAGTTTTAGTGTCAGTACTATAAACTGCTCGGCCGATATATTAACTATGTACAATGGGAGAATATTTGGGTGTCCTGATAATGTCAAATGTCTGATGTTACCAACAAAAAGTCCCCTACATTTATTTTAAATACATCTAGTCAATACAGAGTGCAAGCATATTCATCTAAAATAATTCTGTATATTCAGCTTCAGCATTATGAATATTGTTATTCTGGTGTCTCTATTGTCCTTGGGGTTCCAGCACCAACTCCAAGCATTTTATATCGTATCGTGAGTTCAGTATCATGATATGTATCGAATCATGACATGAGGGTATCGTTACACCCCTTCTATATATATATATATATAACACATTAGAATTTAAATTATTCAGATTGTTAATTTTATAATACTGATACCGATATAAAAAAGTGTGTGTGTGTGTGTGTGTATATATATATATATATATAATGAAACAGGCATTCTTCTATGGCTGTTTTTATGTCTTGCCCTGTCATTGTATGCATAAGAGGCATTCTTTCCCTGTTGTCTGGGACACTATCAGCCTCCCTCCACTGGTACTAGTCTCATTCATGGACAGCTGTATGGTTAGTTACTAGGGGTGACGACACCATTGGGCTCTATTAAGGGTTGTGGGTTTACGTAACCAGAAATGATGTTACCAAGAGACTGTGAAAATAAACTTTTTGTTTTCAGCACTGCCCCATTCACAATCAATCCACAAAATGCATCTGAGAAATCAACCATGAGGCTCAATTTCTGAGAAATACATTAAGCCGACTACTCTAATGGTAAAGCAGCAGTGCAGAGTCTCAGAGGAAGGCTGTACGTAAAAAACCTTAAATATGATACCGGATGCCGTAACGAGTACAGTTATTCATACTATTGAGTTATGGAGGAATGAAGGAACTGACATAGCCATCTGAAACTTTCAAGGAGGGTATCATTCAGGACGAAACTGAAACTAGACAAGAAAAGTTTGACAAGACAAACTTAGAATGTTGATTAAGCAAAGTTTGAAGGTTGGGAAGTTTAAAGGTTATACAGGATAGATTTGTTTGACTAATGGAGTTTGATTTACTCCCAAATCTGAATAAGTGTTAAAGTTACACAAGGCAGAACAGCATGAAGTCTCAAATTTGTGATCAAACTAACCTAAGTTTGTATAACAGCATGTCTATAAATTTCTGCTTGTGTTTACAAATGAAACCGAAATGAGGAGCCTTATTTGAAATGCCAAAAATGTATCTTCTTGTCTCTGCATGTCTCATGGGAAAACAAACATGACTGGGCAAGGAATTCCATACTGCACTGACACGTGTCACCTTATGACCATATAGAATTACTGAAACCTTTCCTGAAGAAAGCATTGGTGAATTAATTTGATTGCAACCCAAACCTGATCACGATACACTGGTTCTTGGGTCCCGTGGCCAGACGTCCCAACATGGACTGATATGCTCGATCCGCCACAGCAAATATATGAGGGGGCAAAGACTTCTTCTCATGGCACTTATATTGCTCAGACACCTGCAAATGGATTTGAGTCCAAATATCAGTACAATTATTCATTTGCACATGTTTTCTACAGTTTTCATCTATATAAACCAAGGAAACACATTCTTACCTCTTTTTCATAGATTGAAAGATATTTAAATGGGTTAATAGCCACCAAGATGTCTCCTATATATGTCTGTAAATACATAAAATTACATATTAATTCAGTTAATCGGTTAACGTTGGATGTCTCAATGATCATAAGTTAAATGAGGTTCAGGCAGCAGCATTTACATACAGTGGGTGAACAACAACTGTCCCAGAGAACAAGAGCTCGTTGTTTTATAATCTCTAGATAATAAACCTTGAACACAGCTGGGTTACCTCATACTTTACACTGATTTGTGGTATTTTTTTGGTCTTTTACCCTTCTTAAATTGAGTATTTTACTCACATAGATTAGGTTCTGTGTAAAACGTCCAGTCAAAACATCCAGCAAACTTTTCTCGTCCAGCTCTGACAGATTCGCCAGATCTTCAGGCAGGTTTGCCTCCATCTTTCGTCTCTAATACTGTACGTCAACTTCTAACTGTCAATTGTTACCGTCTCGGAAAGAAAAGCTCGTGTTTATCCACGGTCTGTCGCTCACTAAGGCAGTGGCCGATTCAGCTGATTGTGTGTGTGTGTGTGCGCGCGCACGCGACACTCTCTCTCTCTCTCTCTCTCTCTCTCTCTCTCTCTCTCTCTCTCTCTCTCTCTCTCTCTCTCTCTCTCTCTCTCTCTCTCTCTCTCTCTCTCTCTCTCTCTCTCTCTCTCTCTCTCTCTCTCTCTCTCTCTCTCTCTCTCTCTCTCTCTCTCTCTCTCTACATGCTGTTTGAGTCTCTCTCCCCGCCCTCATTTACACTATCATTAACCCTTTCCTCCCGGTATCATGGATGGACCCTTTTTACAGACTGTGATGACGCGTTTTAACCTAACGGTCGTCATCATCAGAATCGTTGTGAAATGTGAGCTATTCGAGCAAATGTAGAGCATTTTTTATGTATAGTGTCAAGAAAATGCAAAAAGGGTTCACCTTCACCCCTTAAAGTCCACCATTATTGAATAGATCCTTCTCATATCATTTCTTTCTATCAACACATATACATAATTAGAAGAATGAAGAACTTTCAAAACTATCCCATGTTTGCAAAATGATATGATGTTTCCCAAAAATGAAAATTCTGGCATCATTACTTTCATGGAAGCTCGTTTCCACCATGAGGTAAAAAATAAAAGTCAATTATGACTTTTTGTCTCACAATTCTGCCTTTTTTTCACAATCGTGATAAAAGTCAGTTATGTCAGTAACCCTAAAAGAAGTCAAAATTGTGAGAGAAAAAAAAGTCGGAATTTTAAAGAAAGGGAGAATTGCAAGTTTATGTCTTGCAATTCTGACTTTTTCTCTCGCAATTTCAACTTTTTCTTCAGAATTGTCGCAATTGTGAGAGAAAAAGTCATAATTACGAGAAAAAAGTCATAATTGCAAGATAAAACCTTTTTTTTTATTCGATGGCGGATACGCTTTCATGTCCTCAAGTTGTTTCAAACCTGTATGAATTTCTCTATTCTGCTGAACACAAAAGAAGATATTTTGAGGAATGCAGATCATTTTGCCATGGTTTTGTACAGCACAGTGGTCAACTAAATACTTAAAAGAAATAAAAAAATGTAAAAACGAAAGCTAATTCAATATTAATAAATGCTAGCTAATACTAAAATAACACTGTTGTAGTTCAATTCAAACCATTAAGAAGGAGAAACCATTGTTTTGGTTAATAATCAGGTGGATATTCAGATTAATCAATGATTTATTCAGTGGGAGATTTCCTTTCTTTGCAGAAAAGTCCAGGTAAACTTTATTATCAAAACAGCAAACATTGTAGAAACATGACAAGCATGTATGATAAATAGTGCTCGCTGATTGTTGTACAGTCTAATCGCTGTAAAGGCACAAAACAATTGCTGTATCTTGTGGTCCTAATTTTCTTTTGCAGTAGTCTACCGCTTGACCTATATTTGATCCACACGTCATTATGTGTCAGTTACACTCATCTCAATTATGACACATGGTTTATGATTCTTATAACTTTACAGTATCTTTCAGCAGTGTAATTTATGGAAACAGGTCATCATGGGTTGGATGATGTTAATTGACACCTCACTGGAATAAATTAGACAGTTTCTCTCTAAATGAAATAATTGTGACCAATTCACATGTGACCAAAATAAATGAACAGGCCTAAATTACACTGGAATTAATGCTCTATTTATCATGGCATTTGCACATTTGTCATTTCTACATCATTTATCAAAAAGCTTTTTGTATATAGCCTACTGTGCTTTTTCTTATACTGTATATATTGTATATTTCCACTGAATCCCCATGTTAAACATGCACCACTTTAAAATAAATTAAATATACCGTATACTAAAGCTATTTAGACGGCTATATTTAATAATTTTTCAAACTAAAATACAGGGGAAAATACAACTTTTTTGGTCTTGTTTTATTGTATTAAATCAATTTCTCATTAAAAAACAATATAAGACACAGAAAGGTCATTTTGTGTTACATCATAGTACAAGTATAGTACATTTGATCAGGTAAATTTGTGAAACTCAAACATCAGATATCTGCTGTCAAATGAAACAAAACAGGTGGATTGCTTTTATATGTAACTGCTGAACTCTTCTATCATGGACACTATGTATCAGTTAAGCCCAATTGTTCTGTTACATCTCTAACATGACTAGTATAAAGGGTATAAAAGCACTAACAACATATTTACAGACACATGTTGTGAACAACGATCTATTTCATTTCAATATCAGATGTCGGCACTGGCTTCCTTTCTGCTTTCTTGCTTTTCCTATAAATGAAAAGAAACATTTCAGAGACACTCAATCGTGGTAAAATTACTTAAAATGACGTATTCACATCATACTTACTTATGGAGCACAAACATCACAATAGCAGAAATAACAGCACCAACAAACACAATCCCACCCAAAATACCCACGATCAGCCCTGAGAGAGGAAATATACACAATGCAAATGTGTTTATGGACATTTCAATAAAAGTTCATTGATGAAATTGAAACATATTATTAATGAAACGTGCAGTTGAAACATGAACAGCCCTTTTATGCCAAACCACGTGACTGTACCTGCACTAACACCCTTCTCATCGGGGTTTGGAAGATCTGCAGCTCCCAACAGCCGTCCGGACCTCGCTGGAAAACAGTCACACAGTCAGTGAGAACAGACTGACCTCTGGTGGACAACACAACAAAACACACTGAATCGCCGAACACGAATACATGTGTAGGCCTAGCGTCTGTTTTCAAAAGGAGACTTCACCAAAGCTGCATTTATGTGACCAAATACAGTAAATCTTTTTAAAAATATTATTACAATTTAAAAGAACTGTAAGTTATTCCTGTGATCAAAGCTGTATTTTCAGCATCATTACTCCAGTCTTCAGTGTCACATGACCCTTCAGAAATCATTCTGATTGGCTGCTCAAGAAACATTTCTGATCGTTATCAATGTTAAAAACATATTTTTGTGTGGAAACTGTTTTTTTTTTTATGAATACAGTTAAAAGGAACAGTATTTATTTAGTAAAATGATAAATGTCTTTACTGTCACTGAATGCGTCCTAATCTAATCACTATTTTCACATAGACTTCCCAGTTTGATTCAAGTAATTGTTTAGCAGTGATGTTTATGACATCCTCTTTTCTGGCTCGATGTGTTTATTTAACATTTAAAAATGATGCTTAATCAGTATCAGTAACTGGCATCAGTTGATGTGAAAGAACTTTATACTTTAATCTTCTCTCTATATAGGGTTATACCAAACAGTTTGGGATCGGTTTTATGTTTTTAAAAGAAGCCTCTCTTATGCTCACAGAGGCTGCGCTGCATTTATTTGATTAAAAAACAATAATAGAAAATACTGTGAAATATTGTTACAATTTAAAATAACTGCTATCAACATTGATAATAATAAATGTTTCTTGAGGAGCAAATCATCATAATTTCTGAAGGGTCGTGCAACACTGAAGACTGGAGTAATGATGCTGAACATTCAGCTTTGATCACAGGAATTGTGTGATTAAATTACATTTTACAATATATTCAAAAAAATCAATTTTATAATTTTGCAAAAATTATTAGATACTTTTGAATGTACTTTGAACATTCTGAAAAAAGTAGGCTTACATTAAAAAAAATCTGAGTAAAAAAAAAAATCGACTCGACTTAAAACGTTTTAAAAAACGCATTGTATACAAAAAAAAAACATATTTAACGACGTATGACCAATGTAGTGCTAACGTTTTGAGAACATTATTAAAGACCAGATAACTTTGAAGAAACATTTTATTAACATTACTGTTTGTTAATAACTTTGACAGAACATTCCCTGTAACTTGGGTGACATTTAAAAGCCCGGTGAAGTGCCTTTTATCAGAGAATGTCTAATTGAAGAGAACTGGCACTGGCTGGTTACTTCCGCTTTCTGGACTGGGTGCAGTAAAAGAGCCCATCCAACGGAGAGCCTTGGCACTTCCTATTTGCCCCATTGTGCATCACCTTGGTTGCACTTCCATTAGAATTCCACTGGAGGTGATCACGGGCGAGTGCAGAATGAATGGGAGTCTATGGAGCTAAACGGCTAAATGTGTCTCTTTCACCTTCTATTCGTTAAATCAACATAGATTTTATTGTTGATTCCGCAAGTTCAATATAGATTATAGGCCAAAAGTCGAATGAACGAGTACTTTTGATTTCTTACAGGTTAGGCTGTTGTTGGCCAGAACACGCTAGCATTCTGCTATTGTGTGACGTCATCACATTTTTGAACGGATTTTTAGAACAGATAAGTGAACTTAAAAAATGCAATTTTCAGCTGAATGTATTTTCTTAGCCCTCCCTTTTGAATGCAACTTTCAAATTACTTGACAAAAAATGACATCCTGAGAAAAGTGGATTTCTGGGGGTGAAACCTCATTGTCTCCCATTCATTCTGCACTCGACCGCGAGCGCCCCCACATGGACAGAGACGCGTTACTGCAGCCAGTCCAGAAACCGGAAGTAACCAGCCAGTGGCAGTGCCAATTCTCTTCAATTAGACATTCTCTGGCAGTAACACGTATCTGCCCATGCGGGGGCGCTCGCGGTCAAGTGCAGAATGAATGGGAGTCAATGGGGTTTCACTCCCAGAAATCCACTTTTCTCAGGATGTAATTTTTGTCAAGTAATTTGAAAGTTACATTCAAAAGGGAGGACTAAGATAATACACTCAGCTGAAAATTGCATTTTTAAGTTCACTTATCTGTTCTAAAAATCCCCAAAAAATGTGATGACGTCACACAATAGCAGAATGCTAGCGTGTTCTGGCCAACAACAGCCTAACCTGTAAGAAATCAAAAGTACTCGTTCATTCGACTTTTGGCCTATAATCTATATTGAACTTGCGGAATCAACAATAAAATCTATGTTGATTTAACGAATAGCAGGTGAAAGAGACACGTTTAGCCGTTTAGCTCCATAGACTCCCATTTATTCTGCACTCGCCCGCGATCACCTCCGGTGGAATTCTAATGGAACTGCAACCAAGGTGATGCCAAGGCTCTCCGTTAGACGGGCTCTTGTGTTGACATCGAACAGTTCCTCCCCTTTTTTAAAAATAGCCAATAGCGTTTAGTTTATATCTAGAGCCGTTGAGTTCGGTAAAGCAGCAGTTTCCTCTAACCTTATCTAACCGTAACCTCATCCATGTCCAAATCATCTAAGCTGAGAGGAAATCTCTTACATTTAGTGTAAATTCTACAACATTTTGGGATTCCATACTGACTAAAAACCGATGAAAAGAGACTTGAACTGACCGAGACACAGGTTCTGGCAATCCTCTCGGGAATCAAATCGGTTAGCGTTTCCTTGGCAGCCTTTATATAAGAACATACGGCAGTCCTTCTCTTTACTGTCGTAATAATGCTTTGGGATGATGGCGAAACAGGTGCCTTCGTCTTTTGGCAAAGAACAGGCCATTTCTGAAAGACATGAGGGGAAGAAAAAAAAAACATTGTTTCACTCATGTAAAATCAACAAATATGGTATTTAAGGAGATTGTTTTACCGTCAGTCGGGTAGATCTGTTGTCCGTTTGGAGAACATGTTCTCATGCAGTCTTTATCGCTGTTGAAGCGGTTGCTGTTCCCGCCTTCTCCTTTGTAGAAGAAAGGCACACAGAACTCAAACTTGGAATCATAGAAATATCTCAAGAACTTTTCCGTTCCCTTTCCTTCATCTCTGACGTCTGTGCACTTTGGGCCTGAGAAAAACAGAAATAATTCATTAATATAGCATACCTGAAATGTCACACCTGAAATTGTTACTACAAATGTTTGATCTAGAGGCCTTGGCTTAAATAAGTGAATTATTTTTAATGATAATTTAAATAGGCCTACTCAAAAAACAAGGACGCAAAAAACTCAACCGGAGCTGTTTTCAGTATATTTTTCTTATCAGTAGACTTACATTAAAATATGGTAAAATAAGTGTGTTTATAGGTTGTGGTTAGGGTAGTTATTTCGCCTATTAAAATAAACAGGCATATTTGAGAATTATTATTTTTGTGTGTGTGTAAATAAATTTAAGTAAGTAAATAACAAAATAAATTTGTGTCCAAACTCATTCAATAGGATCATCTGTATTAGAATTATTTACACTAAATAATATACAGAAGACACTGTAAAAAATATTTTTTCGAAGTTGTAAAAAAATATTATTGAAGTAAAAACCAAATTTTATTTGTTTGTTTTTTCCACACACAAAAAAAAATACATTTAATCGTTATACTTTGAAATTTCACTTTTAATTCAATCTTACTTGTAATTTCTTGAATTATTTTGTGAAATTTAACAGCAATTTCTGAGTGAAAATTATTTTAATGTACATCCACATTTCCCCCCAGTGTAGACACTTCCTGTAAAGCAAGCCTACTGCATAACTCCAGAAAGACAAAAATCCCAGGTCTGTCAGAACTCACCCTCTGTAGAAGCAGAGACGTCACCAAATCCCAGAACCAGCACCAGAACATACAGTGTAGATCTTCTCATCGTGATACTTTTCAGATTTGACTGTTTAACCGCCAGCAGTTGTTCAATCTGCACTTACACTAGTTCAGCTCACGTCCTTTAGACCCTCTTATCAGCTCAGTTTTTATGATCAGGGTGTGTTTCTGTCACACTGAGGCCAGTTTCAGTCATAAAACATGACACTGACTCCTCTTATGGTCTCATAAAGTACTGTTTCGTTCAAATGAAATGATCTCTCCAAAACTGCTCATGATAGAACATAAAACTGAGAAATTACTTATTTAGGCCTTGTGTATGTGGTTGCAATCAGTGTATAAATGTACACACATTTACCTTTTATGTTAGATGTGATAATCGTGATTAATCGGTTTGATCACACAAATAAATATAGTAGTATTAACTGATGAAATATTTAATATTGGTAATAAATACTTTTATGACTCTGTCTATATATTTTTTTAAATATATATTTAATTCAAACATTTATATTTTTATAGAAATCAATGGCTAGAAAGGCCTCATTTGCCATTTGTTTCTCCTGCAAACCCAGTTAACTCAGTTTATTCAATTAACAAAAGAAACACATTTATACAATAAATTAAACGAAACAAATCCAATAAAAACAACAGAAACTACTATAAAGATACCTATACCTTTTGGTAAAACAGATAGATATTACACCATTTTAATGTTTTAAGTATTACATTAAAATATTAACTAAAATATCATGTGACATTTCCAAACCTTTAAGCATTTCATACATTGATAAAGTAAGTTGTTTGTAGTAACTGACATAGTTTCACTTAGGAAGGTTTAGGTCAAACTATATCATGGCGTTTGCCCATAAATGCATGTTTGTGTCATTGACACAGCCAAACCCGTCCAGAGGTCATGATGACTCACGATTTAATATTCGTAGTATTTATTAATAACACGTAGGCATACAACAAACATTTAGAGAAGTGATTAAAGTGGCATTCACAGCAGTGAAATAATTCCAAAATAAAAATTACTTAAAAATATAATAACATTAAACAGATGCTTTAAGAAATGTAAGTGCGTATTGCGTTGTCTCATTACATAGTTGATTATTATTCACTATATGAATTGTTTTATTCCCTGAAATAGCAGATTAGTCTCGTCTTCATGTCACATCTTAATTCAAAGGCTTTGCTTAGTCAGGTATATGAGCAATTATAATCCCACAGCTCATTTCTCTACACAGTATTCCTCCATTAGTCACGTAGGTGTTGACATACTGAAGTAATGGGTCTAGTGTGTGTTTTGCAATTGAAAGCAAAACAGAGACCGACGGGGAACTGAGAGCTGTGGAAAAAGCCTCTCGAAGGACCATCTGTGTGTTTTAATGAGACACCGAGGAATAGGAAGCATAGATGATCCGTAACAATGGAACCAGTAAACATCTGCTATTCTTCACGTAACAAACATCAGAGAAGATGCATAGATCCACAGCACTTATTTATTAACCAAAATAGAGTCATAAATGGATTCTTATAAAAGCAAATGTATAAAAAATAAGTAGCAAAATGCACTACGAGTGAAACTATTTAATAATAATATTCGTTTAAACTTCAGGGTGACACTTTACAATAAGATTACATTAAATAATGCATAACAGCGAGACATCTTTGTTAACATGATTAGATAATAAAAGTACAACTGTTCATAGTTCATGTTAGCTCAGATACATTAAATAATATTAGTAACTTTTGTAGTCGAGACCACCTCACTCGAGTCCGAGTTGACACCGAGACCATAGAGAGTCGAGTCCGAGTCAAGACCGAGACCAGAGACGGTCGAGTCCGAGTCGAGACCGAGACCAGTGAGGGTTGATTACCTAATTTACTTTTATTTATTTAGAGAAATACTTTTTTTTTTTTACTGAATTTACTTAGAGTTTAAAAAATATGATCAGTTTAGGGTAAAAAGGCCACATAGTAGGTGGTGTTAAAAGTAATTTTATTAAAATTTGTCATGCGCAGTTGCGCACTAGAAAATCACCAATCACTGGGCGTTTCAATCAATTTAAAGAAATATTTTATTAACATACATTAATAATCATGAAAAATATTTTTAATTGAACTCGAGTGGACTCGGGAATAATTCCGAGTCCTAAAAAAAAAAAAAATGTTCGAGTACGAGTCAATTCCGAGTCCAAATGGACACGAGTCCATGACAAGACCAAGACCATTAAAATATGGTCTCGAGACCGAGTCCGAGTCTCGAGTACTACAACACTGTTTGTAGTATTTTAGTAATGGATTAGTAAATGGTGAAATGGAGATGCTTAAAAGTATTGTTCATGTTAAAGGGATAGTTCACTTTGAAATTAATTTTGGATATGTTTTAGCTTACCGTATCTTATCGTTTAATGGAGGTTTATGGGGTTCACCTCATAGTCCAAATTAAACATGATTTAAAGACTCGTAAATGCAAGTATTTATTCGTTTATATCGTTTAAATTTATATTGTTTTTACCTCTTGTAGCCACAGCCACGTCCAAGTGATCTGAAGGCACGGGCGCTTCTGTCTGTGCCGGAAGTGATCTCTTGCGCGGTTGCGAAACAAAAAAGTTGTCTGTTGATATATCGAAATCGTCTTCCATTTCAATTTCCTGTATATGAAAATATGTTCAGATCTTCACAGTAAAGGATAACACTTCTGAAATATTTGTGTACACAATGAGTGACTTACACGTGCTAGAGATCACTTCCGGGGCTTTCCGGCACACTTGCGCAGAAGTTCCTCAGAGAACTTGGACGTGACTGTGATTACAAGAGGTAAAAACGATATAAATACTGTTCGTTTTCTCTTTAAGGTGAACCCCATAAACCTCCATTATGCCTGGTTCAGATTACACTTTTTTTTTTTGTCTGTTATGGTAGTCACTGTGTCAGATTACGCGATTTTGACTCCTAAAATCTTGTCGTGTCGTGGACAAGACTTCCTGACCAGTCATCGCATGCCGTCTTTAAAGGCGCGCGTGATGTCATCGAGAAGGCAAAACTAGTAGCAAGTGACTTTCGGAAACGAACGTAAACAAACAATGGATGAAGCGGTGAGTGTTGTATTGGCTGTCCTGTGTTCAGAAAAGAGAACTTGAGGTAAAATATTGTTTTCCTTTTAGTTTTAACGTTAGCACCATCGTCACTCTGTACGGAAAAGCTTCTGTGCTCCTATTGGTCAACCTCATACATGTGACGGAACCATCGTGGACGACCGTTAAAAAAATTAAACATGCTAGTCGGCTAGTCGTAGATTGTCGCCCACTATGACACACTATACGAGATGATGCGATCGAATCTTGCGTCCCGACGGCCGTTGTCGTTTACGAATCCCGACACCCTAACGGATCGTGCCAAAATCGGGCTAAAATCGTGTAATCTGAACCAGGCATAATGTGACTGACAGACAAGAACGGTTTGACCTAAAAATATCGGAAACAAAGACACCTACATCCAGTGTTGGGTGTAACTAATTACTAAGTAATTATTTACTGTAATTTAATTACTTTTCCCTTGAAAATGTAAAGTAATGGATTACTCTTAATTTATCTGTAATTTAATTTTCAGTTACTTCTGATGTAATTGAGGTAAATACTGTGTGTATAGATCAATCCGATCTCACAGCGATTCGTATGCATTTTATGAGGTGTCTTAATTGTACGACCTGTACAAATTCGTATGAATTATTGTAAAATATGTATGAAAAAAAGTGTGAAATGTCATGAGATCAAAAAAACAACAATAGTGGGTTTAACATCAAAATGTATTGTCTGATGTTAAAAAGTATGTTTTTATAATGTAACCTTCTCCACCTTTTAAGTTTAAGAATAATTGCAATTTTATAGTATTTATTTGAAAGAATTAAAACAGATTCATGTCTATCCTTGTATTATTCAGCTGGTTGAGATTGATATGGGATTTTGAAAGTAATTAGTAATTAAAAGTAATGAAATACTTTTTAGAGAGAGTAATTAGTACAGTAATCTAATTACACTGTTGAAGAGGTAATTAGTAACTAGTAATTAATTACTTATTTAGAGTAACTTACCCAACACTGCCTACATCTTGGATGCCCTTGAGGTAAGCTAAAACATGCCAAAAATTAAGTATCCCTACGTAACTATTAATGGAACCTTATTGTAAAGTGTTGCCAACTTCGGTAAAGTAGCCCGAATGGAAGTTTTAGCTAGTCGTGTGGGTTGTTGACCTGAAAAAGATCTCTTGTACACGGTTGCATGTAAAAGTTCTGGCTCTTTTCTGCAGGTAAATGTTTCGGATAAAGCCCTTGGGAATTCAGTGTAATTCGGGAAACACCTCCACGTGATTCTTAGGCTTTAAAGTTCTGGAAGATCTCGGCCACCTCGAGCCAGCTCCGGAAGCACGCCAGACCCTGGTCTCGGATCTGCTTTCGGCCTTTGTCTGTGATCACCTGACCGTTCTCCTTCACGATGACCAGCTTTGGTAGGGCTGTGATGTTGTATCTCTTCTTGAGTTCACTGGGAAAACAGCAGAAAACACGTAAGCGTCACAAACACATGCAGACACTGACTGTAGATGAGGTAAAAGGATAACATGCAATTGTTTTCATCTGAAACAGCTTTAAATGTGATTTATTTATTTCAAATAAAAGGAACCATAAATTATTGCAATAGAGACAGACAGAAAATTCAGACAGATATTGCCTTCACTAGTTTAAATATTCCTTTGGTGTGACATAAATTTGGTGCATGTAAAATAATTACAGAAGATTTAGTTTATTAGTCCGGATTCCCAAACTATTGAGATGGTTCTCTCACTGTGGAACATGAAATCCACAGGGAGGAGTCGGATCCAGAACCAACTCCTCCCACCTTACATACACCTAAACTTACCCAACTCCGCCCCCTAATCCCTAAACCCAACTAATTCAGAGTAGTACTGGATAAGGATTTTTTTTAAAAACAATTCTTCAGAGAAATGTAGAACATGTACACTCATCTAAAGGATTAATAGGTACACCTGTTCAATTTCTCATTAATGCATTATCTAATCAACCAATCACATGGCATTTGCTTCAATGCATTTAGGGGTGTGGTCCTGGTCAAGACAATCTCCTGAACTCCAAACTGAATGTCAGAATGGGAAAGAAAGGTGATTTAAGCAGTTTTGAGGGTGGCATGGTTGTTGGTGTCTGAGTATTTTACAATCTGCTCAGTTACTGGGATTTTCACACACAACCATTTCTAGGGTTTACAAAGAATTGTGTGAAAAGGGAAAAACATCCAGTATGCGGCAGTCCTGTGGGCCAAAATGCCTTGTTGATGCGAGAGGTCAGAGGAGAATGGGCCGACTGATTCAAGCTGATAGAAGAGCAACTTTGACTGAAATAACCACTCGTTACAACCGAGGTATGCAGCAAAGCACAACACACACAACCTTGAGGCGGATGGGCTACAACAGCAGAAGACCCCACCGGGTACCACTCATCTCCACTACAAATAGGAAAAAGAGGCGACAATTTGCAAGAGCTCAACAAAATTGGACAGTTGAAGACTGGAAAAATGTCGCCTGATCTGATGAGTCTCGATTTCAGATGGTAGAGTCAGAATTTGGCATGAACAGAATGAGAACATGGATCCATCATGCCTTGTTACCACTGTGCAGGCTGGTGGTGGTGGTGTAATGGTGTGGGGGATGTTTTCTTGGCACACTTTAGGCCCCTTAGTGACAATTGGGCATCGTTTAAATGCCACGGCCTACCTGAGCATTGTTTCTGACCATGTCCATCTCTTTATGGCCTTTGTCACCAGATCTCAACCCAATAGAGCATCTTTGGGATGTGGTGGAACGGGAGCTTCATGCCCTGGATGTGCATCCCACAAATCTCCATCAACTGCAAGATGCTATCCTATCAATATGGGTCAACATTTCTAAAGAATGCTTTCAGCACCTTGTTGAATCAATGCCACGTAGATTTAAGGCGAAAGGGGGTCAAATAGTATTAGTTTGGTGTTCCTAATAATCCTTTAGGTGAGTGTATATTCTATAGAAATGGCAATATTTTAATGACTTTTCCAGCCTTGAAAATCGATTTCCATGACCTTAGTGCAATAATGGCACACATGTAGTCAAACTACACAGACTGTCTATTTTAAACATAATCCTCCAAGTGTGTGTGTGCGTATTAAACCTCTTATCAGGAATAGACTGAGACCTCTAATGTAAGGTTACTGGGGCACTTCACCACACAATAAGTTAACTCATGCAATGGCAACTCACTGTTTAAATGGATCCGTCCAGGGCAGAGCCAGCCAGTCCCCGTGCATGTCATGATAATACTCCACCATGTCTTCAGTGGATTTATCAGAGGATAGAAACACGATCTCAAACTGTGCAGGTGGCTCGGTCTCCTCCACCAGCTCCGTGTAGAAATCACACAACAGCGGAGTGAAGTCTCGGCAAGGTGGACACCATCCAGCGGAGAAATACAGGCCAACCACTTTATTCCGGAGAGCTTCCTCTGGATCCACCAGATCCCCCTCTTTATTCACGAGTGTTCTTCCTGAAAACACCTCGACCATCGCTGAGGATCTCAGCTGCGCGTCCAGGTAACCTGAGAGAAGTGCTTAAATGACTTTTAAAGTATTGCTATGTGTCGTAAAAGTGTCATAAGTAGGTTTAACATACGGAAAAGCAGCTCTGTCCAATGTTTACTGCGATTCCGCGCACTCTAGCGAGTACTTTAACAGCTTTGGTTACAGGGACGCGTATTATCAAACCGCTTCCTACTATGGTGAGGTTGACTCATTAATATTAATGACGCAACGGGACGTTCGCCGCGCTGATTCGCTGACAGCTGCGTTAGTAAGTAGACGCTGGTCAGGTGGCTTAGCTCATGAATATAAATTAGGTGGTTGCCAAGTAACATCAACGCTATGTGATTAATATTAATGAGATAAGGGTTCGCCGGATTAAGGCGAACCTACTTAATTATGATGGACATTTGATTAAAATAATCAAGATTATTTGCACGGTTGTCAGCCCTACGTAGTAAAAAATCCTAAGAAAAAATAAAATAAATAAAAATCTGTGCCTTGGACAGATAGAAAGATAGAAAGATAGAGAACGAGATGGATTAATATGACGGATAGATAGAAAGACAGATAGATATAAATAAATAAATATATGGACAGACAGATAATTGTAAAGTTGGATCAAGGAGGGACGACCTTATAATGGAAAAAATGAAAAAAAAATTTAGTTATAAATATTTAATTTCTAATTACTGAACAAATTTGATAGTCAACAGAAACTGAGGTGAACGTGTTGTTGAGCAGATGCCTGAATTATTAACAATAATCTCAGGTAAAAGGTCTCTCCACTCATAAAAATCAGAGTTTGTATTCTCTAATATACAATATTTTATGGGAATTAAGAGAATTTACATTCACGGTCAGATCTTGAGGCTCAAACCCTATTCATATTTAACCACTCATATATTCTAGATTTTTCTGGCGAATGTTCAGACATATAGAGGCAATTATTTGGATAAAGATTCAGACGCACGCATTCACATGAACTTTTTTAATCTTATAAGGATAGACTTACATAATAATTATAAAAATTACTTAATGAATTAAGTAACAGGTTTTAAAATGTGTTTATACTTAAATGAAAATAAAATGAACTATCTACATGTTAAAAAAAGAGAAAAAAAAAAACAGATTCAGTCCAATAGAAGCCATTTACCTATATGTGAAAGAACATGAAATTTGAACTATACATGTATCTGCAACAATCATCAAATTGCACTGCATTTTTGTCCATTCTTTTCTTTTTTTTATACAAAGTAATTAAAGAGCAACAGCATCTTAAAGGGACCATACGTTCGATTCTCTCCACGTAGTTTAAAGTGTGCATTTCCTCTAATTCTATATCTACAAGGTTGAATTAGATATGTGATATGCACACGTTAGCTCGCTCTACATATTAGATTCGTTTTTGATTTCGTCCCGATCGCATAAGGCCTGTTTCTTTGTTAAATATGGCACTCTTCATAGAAACAAATAAATTTGTCCTGTAGCAGAACGGTGGTACTGTGTCAAAAGGATATGATCCCTCAAATGCTGTTTAACACCGGTACCTTGCCTTCGATTGGCACGCCACACACAACACCAGTGCATTTGTTCTTCTAGAGCATAGCAGAAAATAAAAATACTTATTGTTTTTACTTAGAAATGGATTCAAAACCAGAACCGAAACGTCACAATTAGCAACACAATAAACAGAACCTTTCATTTAGGGAACAAATAGCCGAAATAAAAAGACAGGTACACATGCATCACACTAACATACGAGAACAACTCTACTCATATCATGCAAAAAGAACGGTCTAGTTTTCGTCGTGTTTTTTCTTTTTTCTCCGTTGTAAATTTCCCACGTCGACCTGACACCAAAACACAGTACATTACTACAGTAGGTACATGTAAAAGGCCAATCCCATGAGCATGTCTTTTCTGAGGGTTTGCGTTTGCATATTGACACGTCCGTTGTCCATTTGAATAAGACACAACTCTAGTGAGTAGCGAGCTGCAGAGAGGACCCCGTACGCCTCGAAATAGTGACCTAGCTCTCGTTTGAGAAGGAAAAGTAGAACAGTCCCAGGACAACACTTTACCCCTGCGTTAAGGTCACTACATTTGTTGAGCGCCGCAGCTTTTTTTTGCCCAGCCGAGCGTGTCGCCTGCATTAAGGTTTCAAGGTCAAAACATGGAGAATCAAAAATATCTTTATGCACTTTGCTGGGTGAATCTTATGAAAAGCAGCAAGAAATGTCTAGGTCACATTTCACCTGAAAATCATTTATATATATATATATATATATATATATATATTATATATATAAAATTGTCATGCAAATGTCAAAAAAATATATTAAAATATTAAATATATACATAAATATATATATATATATATATATATTTATATAATTATATATATATATAATTTTTTTTAATACATTTTTTTTTACATTTGCATGACAATTGTTGGCAAATCGATTAATCGCATCTAACCTTTTTTTTGTTTTTGTTTACATATGTGTATATATATATATATATATATATATATATATACACACACACACTATGTAGCCAAAATTGCAATTGTATTTACATCTTCATGACAATTTACACTTTTAAACTCAACCTCAAAATAATGATTTAAAGTATTCACACTTCATGGAAAGATTTAGATTTATGCTGATAAAGAGTCAGTGTGCCTTATTACAGTATTAATGCATTACAGTAAAGGTTTGCTCACATTAGAGAATGAGAATTTCAAAGTGTTTAAATGTCATGAAAATAAAAGCAATTTCATTTGCACATTACAATGTCTATTTCTTTGTTTCGTTTGATTTCGGAGTGAAATATGACCTGAGCATTTCTTGGTGTCACCCTTCTTAGTGTTGCACATCAAATGCAGAACAGCGGATCTCTGCAACCCGTCCGCTTGAGGACAAGAGAAAAGCTCGATGTCTCTGGAGCGGCCGAGTGTGAAGTGTTCAAACTGAAAGAAGAAACGGAGCAGCACAAAATGTTGAAATAATGCAGAACACATGTAGCTGAGAGGGCTTCTTCAAACATAGTAACATTCCTCGGAGGGGGCCTTCGAGTCAATTACAAGTCTAATGGGAACAGACAAACCTCCAGACAAAACACACATGTAAAAAAAAAAAAAAAAAAAAAAAACGATACTGGAACCAGACAGTCAATATCGAGGCACAAACATTTTAGGCTCGCAGAGAGGCAAAGCGATTAAAGAAAAAATAACGCAAAAGTCACAGGGTGTATGGTTTGCAAAACATTTCCTGAATACTTTCTTCATTATTGCATCAGCATTTTTCTAACTGGTATGGGATTAAATACTTTGTGCGATTAGTTTTTGTAACATCACTAAATACTTTGGGGCATCGGGTAACCGTACGATTATTAGCGCGCTAAAAAGACAAAATCGTGTGCTAAAACAAACCCATTTCTCTACACCGTAACAATGATAATACCCAAGAGAAAATGTCCACACTATGCAATCTCATAGATGATAAGTGGGCAGCTTTTTTTTACGTTTAATGAAGCCCAAAAGTGAAATGTTAACGGTTTGTCATCATTACGCCCCCCCAAAGAAGTGCTAATTCACTGAAAACAAAACGGGACCAAAACAAGTCTCTGATTTCTTCTAAATTAGTGCTCGAGATAATAAAAGCTGCATTAGAATTTTGATGATAAACGTTTATATGTATACGTATATATATATATATAAAATAAAAAGTAGGAAACAAAATACATAAAAGCATGTCGTGGGGTTTCATTTCACACAAATGACAGCAGAGCTCGTGTGCGCAATTCTGGCGAGGGTGAGTGCATGAGGGTTAAAACTGCGAAGATATCAAGGACAGCGGGATTTCTTGTTTACAGACAAAACGGGAACATTTTCCCAGGGCACTTTCTGCCTCCACCTCCTGGCACTTTTATGCACACTTTTCTCGCTCCACATCCTTCACGGGCGGCTGTGTTTCTCACATCTGAAATGATAAACACCTCCCAGGATAGCTTGAATTTCGGAGCTGTAACAGTCCAACAGATGTACGCTTTAACGTCCGATGCAGCCCAGAACGTAGTTACCCTAACGGCCAGACGCTACCTCCGGGCTTTTCCCGGTGAACGTGACGTCGCGCCTTCGCAATGACGAAGGAATGGGAAATGCTCGTCTGAAATATGAAGCTACGTGTACGTCGGGGGATGTGATGTCCGTTCATCCTACAACAATAAGAGACACTTGACTAGTGGTAATCCACCATTCCATTTCCAGAGATGTTACGAGAAATGTTTTGAAAGAACTTTTGGCAAAAACGTTTGTGTGAATCACATGGTTACGTGAAACTCCACCCCTTCTCCACGTCCCGCGGGGCGTGTCGCTGCCTACGATGTTTTCACCAGGTCATAGACGTAAATGTGAAAGTCGTCATCAAACTTGATGAAGTAGACGGAGGGCTTGGCTTCCACCTGATGAATAACCATGCCAGTTCGTTTAGAGCCGTCCTCTTTGGCATATTCCACCTGCTTCCCCACGAGGCTGTCCACGACCTCTCCGGGCTCACGCTCCGCAGGGGGCGAGTCGTCTGCAACGCATAGGAAAAACAATGAATATAGATAAAAATGACTCTTTGAAATGATAAAAACGGCTCAAATATGGTGCACCGTTTAACTACTCGGCACACAAATCTGAATATAATGTAATTGTAATTGACAATTTCTAAAAACGAAAAGAACATCAATTCGAATACATATTGGTTTTCAATTGCAAGATGCGCAGTGGAAAAGACGCATGCCTTTGGTGTGAGAGACCCGGGTTCGAGTCCACTGCGAGACACCTGAGCAAGACACTTAAAGGAGTAGTTCAATTTTTCAAAATGAACGAATCTTTTTCCGAGTCAATTGGTTCGTTTCGTTCGTTGAATTAACCAAATGACTCGGAAAAAGATTTGTTCATTTTGATGAACGAGTTCGAACAGGAGAGTCACAAACGTGCGTCACAATACAGAGCAAGGCGACCATTTGACCAAACTTAAACTTTGTTAATTATTTTTTAAATGAGCGATCGTTTCGCTTGATAAGACCCTTATTCATCGTCTGGAATCATTTAAAGCCCTTTGAACAGATTGCAGTTTGTACTGAAACTGTCTTTTGGACCTTGAACCGTTTGGTTCCCATTGAAGTCCATTATATGGAGTAAAATCCTGGAATGTTTATCAAAAACCTTCATTTCTTTTCGACTGAAGATGTCATCTTGGATGACATAAATTATCAGCAAAACTTTTTTTCAAAAGTGAACTACTCCTTTAACCCCTAGTTGCTCCAGAGGCGAGCGACCTCTGACATATAGTAATTGTAAGTTGCTTTGGATAGAAGCGTCAGCTAAATGAATAAAAATGTAAATGTAAAATGTAAGATATTTTTTTAATCTCTTGAAACGGCATATATATATATATATATATATATATATACACACAGCATGACATTAACACCCGCCAACCACAGGTGTATTTCAGCAGTGGCGTGTAACGCAGTCACTCCTACTAGACACTTTGGCGTGATGAATTTTATATTAACATTTTTAAATTGTAGTCTTTCGAGAAGGCATCTGAAACAATAAACTAAGTATAATGTCAAATGTAAATTGATATATATTAATAGTGAAATGCCTGAATCGCTTTTAATACTCATTTTCCGCTGAATCGATTCACTATCGATTGCGAGTGTCTCTCTTCACTCACTCATTTTTTTTTATTGTTGCTCCGGCTAAAAAAAAGTTTAATTTCTGCGAAGGATTGCGCACAATTTAACTGTATTACACCCAAAGTGTGCTCACATAAAACTGCCACATAAAAGTACTACATTTTTTAGTATTTTTCGTAGCATATTGAGCTTAAACAGTCAAATACACATAAAATAATGTCAAAATGCCGGTCTTGGAAAGTATTCACATAAACACAGTCCGTTATGTTTTAACTGAATGTAAACAGTTGAGAAATTAAAAGCATGTTAACAGTATATGGATCTGTGAGTCAGGTCTTAAAGGGACAGCAGCTGCCAAATTATGAGATATTAAAAATATCTATATGGCAGTTTTTTCCCCATGGTATCAATGCCAGAATTGTGGCCAGTGAAAATGCTAAGTAGCTACTAGTAACTTTGGATTAGGGATGAACAATAATTAATCGCGATTAATCGCATCCAAAATAAAAGTTTGAATTTACGTAATATATATGTGTGTGTGGTGTGTATTATTATTTTATACACACACATGCATGTATATATTTAAGAAATATTTGCATGTATATACTTTATATATATTTATACATAATTAATATTATGTATAAATGTAAATATTTGATATATTAAGAACACATTTTTCTTAAATATATACATGCATGCGTTAGTATTTATATATACAAAATAATTATACACACCACACACACATATCATGTAAACACAAACTTTTATTATGGATGCGATTAATCGTTGCCCATTCCTATTTTGAATAACCAAATAAATAACCTGTAAAAGTTTGTTTTTGTATGTATGTATATACAAGCATTTTATCAGACATGAGCAACTCTTAAAATATCTATTTTGCCATCATCCACTGAAAAACCCATAATGGTCCATCACTGCTATTAACAGTTCATTTCGAGATTTCAAATAGTCAAATTTAAAGACCAGTTAACATCACTGCAAAAACACTCACTAGAGTCTGGCATGATCCTCAGATCTCCGTCTTTATAGTCGTCGAGCAGCTGATACATGTAGAGCACAGGGTCTTTCTCATACGTGATGTAAAACCACGTGTTCATGATGGGCGCCCGGGCCAGAACCATTCCCCTCCACTCGTTCTTAGTGCCGTCCTCCGTCTCGAACATGTGCTCCACAGCTTTGCCGATCATGGTGTCGGCCAGGTGGGCGTCGCTGATGCGTGTCGAGGCTGAAAGATGTGCGAGAAAGCAAGACACACGATGAGCGGCAGGATCGGAAACATCATCCACGGCAGTAAATCTGGGAACAATAATTCACTCAAAAAGCAAGGCTCGAGTTTATGAGTGCACGTGCATGAAAATAAGCCAATCCACATTCAAAAGTCATCCGATGTCAGAGATACTGAAGACGTATTGAGCTTTAGTGCTCATGTTGGAGAAAATCCAGCATATACATACATTAAATATTAGGTGATGGATATTTTGTGATTGAGAAGAATATTTAATATGATCAATATGAGTGCAACATTTTAAAAATATTCATATAATAAATTCACTTTCACACATTTAGCCCTAACACACAAGCAAGAAGTATTCAAATTACGAGTACAGCATTTAAAATATTTCTCTATATGATATAATAATTAAATAAAATGTATTTTCGGCTCATCACTGGCCGACTGTTAATTAGTCATTAATAATTCACTACATTCATTATTTATGAATATTAGTCATTACTGTAGTTAACATGAACTAAGAATGAACACAACTACTTCAGCATTTATTAATCTTAGTTAATATTAATTTCAACAAGAATAGTAGAGTTAGAGAATAGTTCAGAACCGTGAAATGCAATGTAAGTTGCTTTGGATAAAAATACGTAAATGTAACACTTACTAATACTTTATTAAAATCAAAAGTCTTTAATGTTAAGATTAGTTAATGCTCGGTAAACTAACAGAAATGAACAGCTGTATTTTTATGAATTAACACTAACATGTTTTTGCGGCTCATTGTTAGTTTATGTTAGTTAATACATTCATTTATGAAGCTTAATGGAAAGTGTTACCGTCTGCTGTCAATAAAATGAAATCAAACAGACGCACCTTGTCTGTCTGGCAAAACCTCGAGTCCTTGCACCCTCTCGTCTTTATGCAGCTCCAGGCCGTAAACGCAGTCAAAGCCGTCATATTTAATCAGGTAGAGCGAGGGGTTGACGGGCACCTGGTCTAACACGGTCCCCTTCCACTGCGACGCCGCGCCGCTGCCCTCCTTCCAGATGTGCTGGATACGGCAGCCCACGATGTTACGCCTGGGCTGAGCCACTGCTTTGGTGGGCCCTACACTGGTCTTGTGTTTCCTGTGAATCATCAGATATCAGCATTAACATCCGTTTACTGACACATTTCACATTTTTAAATGTTGAATTCTGAACTAGTTTAAAGGTGAAGCGAGTCATTTCAACAAAACATCAACACACAGAAAGACGACAACAAAACATCAACACAGAAAGAACAAAACATCAACACACAAAAAGACGACAACAAAACATCAACACACAGAAAGAACAAAACATCAACACACAAAAAGACGACAACAAAACATCAACACACAGAAAGAACAAAACATCAACACACAGAATGAACAAAACATCAACACACAGAAAGACGACAACAAAATATCAACACAAAAAGACGACAACAAAACATCAACACAGAAAGACGACAACAAAACATCAACACAAAAAGACAACAACAAAACATCAACACACAGAAAGAACAAAACATCAACACAAAAAGACAACAACAAAACATCAACACACAGAAAGACGACAACAAAACATCAACACAAAAAGACGACAACAAAACATCAACACACAGAAAGACGACAACAAAACATCAACACAAAAAGACGACAACAAAACATCAACACACAGAAAGACGACAACAAAACATCAACACAAAAAGACAACAACAAAACATCAACACAAAAAGACAACAACAAAACATCAACACACAGAAAGACGACAACAAAATATCAACACAAAAAGAACAAAACATCAACACACAGAAAGAACCAAACATCCACACACAAAGACGAAAACAAAACATCAACACACAGAAAGAAGACAACAAAACATCAACACAAAAAGACGACAACAAAACATCAACACATAGAAAGAACAAAACATCAACACAAAAAGACGACAACAAAACATCAACACACAGAAAGAAGACAACAAAACATCAACACAAAAAGACGACAACAAAACATCAACACACAGAAAGACGACAACAAAATATCAACACAGAAAGAACAAAACATCAACACACAGAAAGAACAAAACATCAACACAAAAAGACGACAACAAAACATCAACACACAGAAAGAAGCCAACAAAACATCAACACAAAAAGACGACAACAAAACATCAACACACAGAAAGAAGACAACAAAACATCAACACAAAAAGACGACAACAAAACATCAACACACAGAAAGACGACAACAAAATATCAACACAGAAAGAACAAAACATCAACACACAGAAAGAACAAAACATCAACACACAGAAAGAAGACAACAAAACATCAACACAAAAAGGCGACAACAAAACATCAACACACAGAAAGACGACAACAAAACACCGCATCCATATGGTATTGGTCGGGATAGTCAAACAGATTCCATCTCAAACAGAAAGTATTTTAATATCTAAAATCCATAAATCCAATTAAAATAAATAAATGCACACTTACGTTTTAAACTTTAGTAAATAATTGTATGCTTCACCTAATATTTAACTCTGATATAATGATGATCATTAAATTCATAATTGTTCATTTATGATTAATATACACTAAACATTTAAAAGAAATCAAAATAATATAATAATTACATTTAAATTCAGCCCTAAAACACAAGAATATAATAAAAATATGCTTAACTGAATATTTAACTCTGGTAATGATGATTATTAAATTAACAGATGTTTTATTTAATATGAACAATGAGCTAAAAAGATGATACGAATAAATAATAATTAAAATTCATACTCACAATTCTTTGAAACACAAGTAAAATAAAAAACACACACACTTTACCTAATAGTTCCCTCTGATAATGATAAATATTAAATTAATAATACATGTTATATTTACTATGATCAATGTAACATTTATTAATTTAATATTTATCATTATCAGAGGTAAATATTAGGTAAAGTGTGTGTGTTTTTTTATTTTAAAATTAATATAAAAATATATAATAAATTCACAGATTAAGCTGAAAATTATAACTATTAAATTCATTAATGTTATATTTATAATGATCAATAGGTGTACCATTAAAAAAAGATCAATCAATAATTCATTTACATATTCAGCCTTAAAACACAAGAAACTAAAAAAATATTCTTAACCTAATATTTAAATCTGATAATGATATTTTATTTATTATGATCAGTATTTGTTTAGTATTTTAAAATAATTCGTATAATAAAATAATATAATATCATTAATATCCAGACATTAAAGGATTAGTTCACCTCAAAATGAACATTTCCTGATAATTTACTCACCCCAATCCCATCCAAGATGTTCATGTGTCTTTCTTTCTTCAGTGGAAAGGAAATTAAGGTTTTTGAGGAAAACATTTCGGGATTTTTCTAGGGTCTTATCAAACGAAATGATAAAAAAAAGTATACTTTTTAACCACAATTGTTCGTCTTGTGCTGGTCTATGATTACTTCAGCCTACGTCCAGCATGACCTTTCCAACTTGATTAGGCAATGCGCAGACCAGCACAAGACGAACAATTGTGTTTAAAAAATATATAGATAGAAAAAGAAAATGGCCGATCGTTTTGCTATTCTTATCAGCTGCGATCGTGTACAGTCCTTGGAAACCGCATTGATTTGAACTTCAACAATTTGGTCCATTGTGTGGAGAAAAATCCACAAAAACCTTAATTTCTTTTCCACTGAAGAAAGAAAGACATGAACATCTTGGATGGCATTGGGGTGAGCAAATTATCAAGAAATGTTCATTTTGAGGTGAACTAATGCTTTCAGCACAACCAAATAAAACAATTATCTTTCACCCAATATTTAACTCTCATATTGATTTTAATCAGTGGAGAATTGTAAAAATACTAATATAGCAAATAACACTTACTTATGAGAATTCTTTTTCTTCATCATATTTGCAGAGACTCCAGGATGCCCTTCGATCACAGAGACAGCAAATACAGTTCATATTAAAAACAGATTTCAGACGATGATCGTCAAGAGGGTCATCCAAAATGAAGCATCCAATCAAAGGCGTTCTAACCTGCATCAGCTCTGGATCTCTGGGCCGCGTTCTTCCCGAATGGGGTCTTCATTCATCGGTGTGTGGGGGAGCAGCCCGGCTGCCACACTAGGGTGAAAATATCCTCTTACTCTTTCGGATGAATGAAAGAGTACTAGGGGAAAGGGAGAGGGGGGATAAACCTAAAGGGGGCAGTCAAAAAAAAACAAAAGCCGCTGGCATGTAATATGGTTCCCCCCGATGCCCCGATGGGTCGTGCCAGGCCACTCAGGGCCCGCGCAGATGGGTACTGATCCAGACCTCCTTTGGAAGGGCTTCAGCAACCTAAAAAAGAAAGAAATATAAGAACCCCAGCATAAACATGTACAAATCACTCAGGGAATGTAAACGGCCACATTTTAACTTCCCAGTAGCCGATGAAGTAGCGAGCGAAGAACCTCCACGTTAATGAGCCATAAGAGTCAAATTGCATGTGATTTTTCTTTGGTAACCAAACAGATTTGGTTCCCATTGACTTCCATTATATGGACAAAAAAATACAATGCAAGTCAATGGGAACAGAATAGTTCAGTTACCAACATTCTTCACAATATCTACTTTTGCGTTTCACAGAAGAAAGTCGGTCAGTCATAAAAGTTTGGAACGACATGAAGGCGAGTTAATTATGAAAAAGTTTTATTTTTTGGATGGTCTATCCTTTTAAGTGAAATATTTTTCAGACTAAAGGCCTGTTCAGACCGGGACGAATTTCGTGCACGATATTCGCCGACATTTAACACCTTTTAAAAACGCCTCAGATTCGTTTCTTTGGTTTGACGCGCCGCGTCAAAAACTATCCGACCAATGAGATTGGTGCTTTTGCTCATGTGTCTGGTGCTTCTGAAGTTACAGTACAACACAACTTGGGGGCACTCAAACAGAAAACGGTCTTACCAAGCACACATCCATAACTGCGAAGAAGATATACGCCACCGTCTACACTGCCGGAAGGAGGAAGATACAAGGCAAGAAGATATCTATGGGCAAGATGAATGTTGAGCTGCTGGTCTCGTTGGTCTTGGAGCATAAAGAGCAGTATTTTACTGTTTTACATTAAGCGCCACCTAATGTCAGGGAATGAATTTGCATGTTCACTCAGCTCATCGTTTTGTGTGAACACAAAAAACGCGTTGAAAAACGCTGACGAATGACGCGTGCTGATATTCGTCCCGGTGTGTACGGGGCTTTAAGGGTGTATTCACAGGGGTTGCACGACTACTGATTTTTGCAAGTTGATTTTTTATCCAAAAAAAAAATATACTAGACTACTCGTGGTTCATGCTACTGTAACTGAAAAGACAAGAAATAGTTCTTATCAATAAATGTTTATTAATTCGTAGCCTAATGCAACAATTGCATAAGTAAACTCAAAACATTATAATTATGACATTACATATTTTAATGTTCAATTTCAAATGTAGGCGTGCGGCAAGCGTGCTCATAATGGAAGTGAAGCGGCTATGTACGGTGACCAAGAGAGCTCAACGAGCTGCACCTGAAGAAAACACATGCAAATAGAAAAACACCCACACATTAAGAAAACACCTTCATCAGTTTCACAACAAGTGTGTGCTCCAAAAACTCACAACACAACCAAACACAAAAACACGCTGTAAATGGCATTTGAATTCATTTATGATTAACGAACATTGCACACTGGAGTAGTCGATTGTTTCCGACAGTGCCAAGTTCGCCAACTATTGGTTGAAGTAGTTGATCTCTTGACTAGTCTGTGCAAGCCCTAATTCACAGCTATCTAATTTGGTTAGAATGAATCAAACTCAAGTTAATTTCCCCCTTGGTGCGGATCTTTTGGGCAGGTGTGAATACGGCAATCGCACTCGTGTGCGGACCAAACAACCATACAGAGACCCAGCTGAAGAGGTGGGCTCGGTCCGGGTCCAAACGAACTCTGAGACTGGTACCGATCGAATTTCTGTCCAATGAATGGATGACCTTAACATGTGGTTTTGTTTACAAATATTGGTGGCAGTGTGAAAGCAAACCACAGCAAACAAAAAAAAAATCTATATTGCGTTTAGGGATGTCCGGGCCCGATCACATGGTTTCAGACTCGATCGGAATCGGATGTTACCTCCCGATCTGGACTCGGATATACGTCATGTATATATATATTCTCAGTATTTTTAACACATCTATAGCTATGCGGAGGCACAGAGTGGCCTGTGACACACTGGCTGCGTGGCGTAAGCATCTCAGCTGCGAGGCGTGTCCGTTTTTATTTCGGCTCCCATGTTAACAGGTTAGAGCTTGCAGACTGCCTGAGTGAGCCGCGCGGAAAACGTGTGCATGCTAGAAATAGAACCGACGCCTATTTTTCACGCGACACACAAGCGTTGGAGGCGTTTCCAGGCGAAATAGAATAGGAAAAGATGTTATATGTTATTTTGTACACGAATACATATTAATAAATGAAATGTTGATGGTTGAAAGTCTAGGTTGACAAATTCTGATAAAAAAAAAAAATCAATTTTCAAACATTGCACCTGTCAATACAGAACAAAATATTCTGTGGTCTATTTTGCTGTCAATACTGCTTAACATTACCATAGCAAACTGTGAGATAAGTAAACTTGGGATCTCAAGAGGTGGAAAGAAAAAGGCTACATTTAACACAACAAACCTGATACAGCACCTCAAAAACAAACACCCGACACAATTCAGCAAGTTTACCCAGGCAACCCAGCCGAAGACGAGTCGGCTCGCTGCAGGAGAGTTTGAAGAGGACAGAAAAATGCCTCTTGACTGTGAGAATCCGCAGGACATCACAGCCAAGATACTGTAGCACAAATGATCGTAATGAGTGCTATTTGTTTATATATTAGACTTTTTTTATATATATACTTTTGCGCTAAAGTCCAAAAGTGAAGAATGGATCTATTTATGGACCAGTGGTACCCCATCCAAATGTATATTCCATGATACATGTGTACTGTGAATCTTATGCCAGCTATATTTCTCTATTTCCTTTCTCTATAGATGATATAAAGGCTTTAGGGGAGTGATGGACATGTATATTGTACCATCCAGGATATCACATTTGGGTGTTGTGAATTGCACTTTTTGATTTCAATTTTAAAAAAAAAAGTAAAAAAAAAACAAAACAAAAAATGTTTATTACCTGATTGTTCAAGCTACCTCACAGAAGTGATCTGTTCGTTAACAGAGTTGTCAAATGTTAAAATAAGGCGAATTAAATAAAAAATAAGGAACATACTGAAATCTAGATCTGTTTTTTTGCTCTTCTTTACTCTTTTTTTTTGTATATATTATAGAAGTATCGAATCGGGACTCGGTATTGATAGATACTCAAAATCAAATGACTCTGACTCGGACTGACTGACTCCTGCACATTTTAAATTAGATTCTAGTTTTTAATGCAATCCATCAATCAACTGGGTGAACCATGATGATGTCTATTACTTAAACGTTTTACCCTATTCATCTGAGGTGTCTTGCTTTAAATGTCGATGGACTCATTTAACTGCTCCTGACGCTCAAAATACCAAAGACAGCAGATCAGCCATGCCATGAGACTTGCATTATTCAGGAAGCCAAGCAGACGCTGTTATACAACACAACAGGAGTACGCTACAAGCACAGGGAGCTCGGGGCTTCCTTACACGACGTCGCTCTACCAGAGCGTCCGACTAAATCAAAACCAGACTGCGTGTTTAATACGACAGTCCATTGCACACGAACATGACCTAGTGCAATCCAACTGCAACATGCTTTAATGCACGAAAATACTCTTTTCCAACACAGCTGGACTCAAATAATAACACTGCATCCATTTTCAATTTTACAGTCTGTATCTCCAATGAAAATAACGAGCATTTACAGTTCAAGGTCAGTCCTCCTTTTTCACAGCATGCTGCCATGTTACTGTTAGATAAAGGTGGTGAGATGATGCCAAAGTTTTTGTCACTTGAACTGAGCAAAGCCTTTCCTCAATATATTTACAATATCCTTTAAGTTTCTCTTATACAAACTCTTTTTAAAGCAAATTTTACTTCCAAGTCTTTATTGTAATTTTCATTATTTTCAAAGGTGGTTGTCGTTCGATTCTTACTCAGTATTTTTGCTGTATTACATTGATTTATTTTACTTCATTGCAACATTTTAATCTAAATCAGCATCAATTAAAGGCAACACATCTAATTCCGTCATGATGCATAATACTCTATATATTAAGTAATGATTATCTAGGTGGAAAATTTGTTTTATTTATGGCTAAAGTGTACATTTATGATAATGAATTTCCAGTATGTCAAAATCTTGGCTATAACTGAACTCAGTCTTGCGGTGTTGAACACCTGCACATGGATGATAGAGCAATTCTGTATGCATTTCCCAGCATACCAGAATCTAATATATTTTAGCTGTAGAGGCAAAAGTACTGAGCTGTATCAAATGTTGGTCATAATGGCAGCTTCAGACAATGCTCAATGCAATTGAAGAGAGGAAATTTACAGCTCAATGACGCAGAAAAATTAAGTTATTGAACAGTATTCATAACATGATGGGATTAACCAAGTGAAAGGATAGAAAAAGAAAAGGATAGTTTTAGAAAAGAAAAGCGTATGTATTTGTGTGTATACTAGAGTTGCAGAGTCAAGAAGACCACCACATGAACTGAGACCGAATCAAGACCAAGATCAGCACTCTCCTCAAAATCATCTAAAAGATCCATATCTACTTTCTGAGAAATGTCTTAACTAGAATAATAAGACACCATACAGAGCTTTTACCAATCAAATCACTAACACGAACTTTAATATTTGTGGTGTGGAGGTTTCACAGAAGTTGCATCTGAATTGGTACGACTACACCTGGATAAATAATGTTGAGATTAATGTTTAAAAAATACATAGAAATACTGTATGATGGAACAACAAAATGTTAGGCCTACTTGTAAATATGAAACAAAACACTTACTGAGTATCATTTATTCAACCGATTTGTTCAAAGCAGCTGATTCATTGAATAACGAAACACCAGTCGAAAACGCACAACAGTTCTTCTATGGATTCGTCTGGAACCATTTTCATTGTTGAAATATCAAAAACTTGTCTAAAATGGTGTATAAAATGTGTCCCTAAATATTAACTTCTTGTTTATTGAACGTTTGTACAATTTTATGTTTGCAATTGTGCTCACATCAGCTCTCTTGCTCTTATGATATTGCTTAATAATATCCTACATTACAACATAAAAAACAAGATCTCATACAAGTACTTTTTGGCAATCATATCTTGAATTTGGGGGGCATTTGTAAGAATTCGACTGAGTAAATCCTGCATTGATTTAAAACCCGGCACAACAGTAACAAAATAAATCATATCGGAAATAAGTTATGGATTGCATTTTAAGCAGTAAGTTTAAATCAAATCACATTAATGATGTTAAAAAAAAAAAAAAAAAAAAAAATCAGACAATGCACCAGCCACTGAAACAAAACTCAGCCACTGTGTCTTCAGCGGTTCGGATTTAGGAACATCAAAATGACTGAGTTCGTTATTACACCAAAGAACAGAACAACACAATCGCTTAGACGCCATTCTGCTACAGCGTATCAACAATGGTGAACTATAGTCTAGCTCGCTCAGGGCGGGTCTGTGTTGAAACGCTGCTGTCAATCAACAATCCTGGGAGGGGCGTCCGACCGTGTGACATCAAACGGTCGAACGGCTCGATTTGAGGCAGGGGAAAACATATAATGAGATTAAAACAAAAACACTGGATGGATTTTTATCATTGTATGATGGTTTGGTACAGGCACTGCCAATACACATTTCAGTACAATCAACTTGTAAAAGTACATACCATTATATGACCCCTTTAAGACCTGTCTTGAGTACTACAACACTAATATATACATGCACAGAAATGTTGCCTTTTATAAATGACCTATGTTCTTGTCCAGCTATCCAACTGTTGTACATAACCATACTTTTACACACATACAAAATAAATATGATTAAGTTTAGCTTTTTTTTCACAATAATATTATAAATCAGAACCCAAATTAAAGGCTTAAATCAAACCGACCCATTCTCCAGCACTTAAACCCACCGCAGTGCCTGTTTCTCTGCTGTAATCTCTTCTTTACAAGCCTAATTGATCAATTAATCCTCCAGAGGTGCCCTACAAAACTCTTCAGGAGACTGTCATGAAATACAAATGAACCGCCGCCCCCTTCCAAACAAAACCCTAGAATGATTCATGTCATTGTTCCTCATGGAAATTCAGCAGACTTTCTCAATGCAACCTGATCATTGAGCATCAGATGAGACTAATGAATTCAAGACCTTACATTTCAAACTGGCCAGAACCTTCAACAATGCAGTGAGATCACTTGGCCAGATTGGGTTTCAGTGCTGCCATTAACAAGCAAGATGACAAGCAGCACTGCAAGTTGTCTAGTTATAGTGAAAATTGGAAAAATACACACACATGAATATTGCATCTGGGCTTGCAAGTGTATGTAAGCATCCTTTTAAAGAAAAAAAAAAGCATTACAGATAATAGCTAACTGGCAGTCTGAAGAGATCATCACATAACAAAAACACAGTATTCAGCCATTAAACAACCAACACAAGTCCAACATTAACAATAAACGCACGTTTTATTAATAAAAATCGCAATTTGTCATTAAAAAATATTCGAATCCATCTAGCTAACCGACTCAATTTCGCTAACTATCCTCGTTAAACACTACAAATTCTTCACAAACGCAGCCAGATGTATTATTTGAAATGCTACGACGGCACCCAAGAGGGATATAAAGCCAGAAAACAGCCAGGAATGATAAAAACCGTGTTATTTGTGTGACTAAACGCAGTGCAATAGCTCATAGCTCGACTCAGCTCAACGGCTCCAGCCGCCATTTTGGCTCAAGCTCTTATTTACAATCCCGCAGCAGAAACAAAGGAAGCCCAAGAAACGCATTTTCAACAGAACCGTCTGAATCAAGCGTCCCCACAGCTCGCCCCCAAAACCCCCTTACTGCCTCCACTGCAGATTTGAGCTCAATCTTGTCGCATTTCGCCTTTTATTCAAGTGCAATGCATAAATGTGGCATTTATGGCATGGGTGCTCGCTTACCCCGGGTTTATTATAGAAATTCACGCATATTGCGGCATAAAGAATATTTCCACTCCAGCTCTGCCTTACTGTGTGTTCAATGAGAAGCGTTTGATGAGCGCAGGCGGCCCCGAATGCGGCCGAGCTCTTTCCCTCCCCTCCCCCGCTGCCACATAGTGCTCCGCCGTCGAACACCGTTGGCGCTGCGCGGGGAAACCTTCCTGCCAAATAGTGCGCTGCCGACCGTTTCCCATCGTTTTTCTTCGGTCGCTTTCGGTTCGACTCGGCAGGGATGTGTGCGCATGCGCAAGCACTGCGACATGACTGTCCCCTTCAAAAATCCACTGACAATAGACAATAAAGTCTGTGATATTATGGGCTGGAAGGTGCTACACTTTATATGAAAATGAGTTTATAAATTCACTAATGGCCCAGGGAGTCTGTTTTATATGGAATGAAGTGCTGTGTAGTTTTTTTTTTCCCTTCTTGAGAAATAAATATGATAAATTAACTAAAAATAGCAATATGGACAGTGTGAAATATTATGTTGTTTATTAAGATTTGAAGTGAGTTAACAAGATGCACGTCCTCTTTGCTTACGTGGATTTTATATAAATGTATCGGATATTGTAAATTATAAGCTAACAGTGGGAAATTGAATGACTTTCACTTTTATATGGGACCCTAAAAAGCACAAATGAGCACATCAAATAAAAAGTGTATTTTTAGAATAAAAACAAAATATATATGTATCAAATAGCTAATAGTATACAGTCTGTAAGGTTAATTAAAAGCTTGTACTTTTCCTGTTTTTTATGCTTTTGGAAAAAGCATCTTCTAAAATAAATGATTAAATGTACCTAACTGTAAAAAAGAAAACTTTTTTTTATTGCTATTATGTAATAAATCCCAGACTTAGAATTTTTAATAACTGATATCAGATCCTTAGAGTTCAATTTAGTGACCCGAGGGCCTCAGTTTCTATCAACACATGCTTGTGAAGAAACATGAAATAAATGACATGGGCCTTGAAACCTCAGTTTACATCATCACGCTTCAGAAAAATCTTTTCAAACGCATCATAAATCATTCGGTGTTCTACAGGTATGCTTGGTAATGAGGTTGTCAAATGCATTGCGACATCCATTAACACACACACACACACAGAGCGGAAGAACCAAATCATCAGGCAGACAAACAAACCCAAATATCACAGAAAGGGAGTGGCATTAATAATCTCGCTGTTTCCCAAACAAAATTCGGCCGTCTCCCTCAGCGGTTGCCATGGAGACAGTGTCTTCACATGCCTTTGAACTGCTGCATAATGGACAGGAGCTGCTCACTGCGTTTTTGGATATTGCACTGCTCCTCTTTGAGTCTCTCCTGCTCCTGGAGCACCTCCTCCTGGAATATTCAGACCGAATCGATAAACAAGAAGAAACGCCAGGTGACGTGGCACGATGAAATGTTAGACGTACGTCACTCCATGCATAGAATGAGATATTTGCGAGACTGACTTGAAGTGGATTTTTAAAGGAATAGTTCATGCAAAAAAGTAAAAAGCTAAAATGTGATGGACAGTGTGCAATTCGGACATATTATGTATCAATGTTTATTAAAGTTTGAAGTGAGTTAAAAGGATGCACTACATTTTTACTCCTGTGTATTTTATGGTGGGGGGTGGGGGGAATCATTAAATTATATATATACACATTACACACACATAATATATATATATATATATATATATATATATATATATATGAATTAGTGCTGTCAAATCGATTAATCACAATTAATCACATCAAATTTGTTTAGATAGTATGTGTGTGTAAATGTATATACTCAATGTTTATATATGTATATATGTACACACCCTGACACACACATATACATAATATATATATATATATATATATATATATATATTAGGGCTGTGCAAAAATTAATTGCGATTAATCGCATCCAAAATAAAAGTCTGTGTTTACATAATATATTTGTGTGTGCTGTATATAATTATTTTGTATATATAAATACCTATGCATGCATGTATATATTTAAGAATTATTTGCGCTTAAATTCTGTATATATATATAAATGTATAATCTATATTATATAAATATTTTATATATGAATAACACATTTTCTTAAATTTATACACGCATGTGTGTGTATTTATATATACAAAATAATTATATACAGCACACACAAATATATTATGTAAACACAGACTTTTATTTTGGATGCGATTAATCGCAATTAATTTTTGCACAGCCCTAATATATATATATACACACTGTATAAATTAGGGCTGTCAAACGATTAATCGCATACAAAATAAAGTTTGTTTACATAATATATGTGGGCGTACTGTGTGTAATTATTTGTATATATGTATATATATGAAGAGTTCAGATGCAAAAGCCTCTAAGTGCCATTTGAAATTTTCTTCTAGAATGATCATTTTTATCAAGCTTGTATATTTAAATTCAGTGATTTCACTTAAATGGCAATGATAATTACATATTAATTGTTATTTAAGTGAAATTACTGAACTTAAATATACAAGTTTGATAAAAATCATCATTGAAGAAGAAAATTTCAAATGGCATTTAGAGGCTTTTGCATCTGAACTCTTCATATATATATATATATATATATATATATATATATATAAACACACACACATGCATGTATATTTAAGAAAAAAATATGAATTATATATAAAATATTTATATTTATATATAATATCAATTATATATAAATCTATGTACAGTATATACATGAAAATATTTTAAAAAATATTCTTAAATATATACAAGCATGTGTGTGTATTTATATATATAAAATAATTATACACAGTGCACATTATGTAAACACAAACTTTTGTTTTGGATGTGATTAATCACGATTAATAGTTTGACAGCCCTACTATAAATATAATAATATTTACACACACACATATAATATATAAACAAACTTTTATGTCACATGCGATTAATCGATTTAACAGCACACAGACAGAGTGTGTGAAACACAGTAATAGTGTGTATAACACTAGTACTAACTCAGTTAAAACAAGCTTGCTCTCTGCCTGGCAGCGGTTTGTATGAAGTAAATGTGTGTGGTTATTTTAAAGCAACACACCCTCAGTTTACACAGCTCCTTCCTCTCCTTGTCGTTCTCGTCTGCCCGCGCACGCAGCCAAGCCTCGTTCTGAGCTTTGTGTCTTTCCAGCATATCCTGCAATTCCTGTCCAATCACAACCGCAAACTTCCTTTAGCAATTGTGAAGAACAGGAACGGACAAGAAAATGAATCTAATGACGTCATCATCAGGAGTACCTGTGTCTGTCTCAGGAGGTGCTCACTTTGAGCGTCTTTCTCATTTTGTAGAGCCTCTGTGTCCCGTGCAAGTGCTTCCTTTTCTCTGTTTCAAGTGAGAACAGATTCACGTTATTAGTGATTTAGACAATTCATTTGAAATAACCAAATACGGTATAATCTCTACCTGTCTAGTTTCTGGAATTCCTCATCTAACATTGCAAAAGCTTTGTGGATCATGTTCATGGCTTCATCACGAACTGTACTGAAATCTCTATGACCGCTCACCTGGAGGAAAGTAACATGGGTTGGTTACAATATCATATATTTCCTTATATATAAAGAAATGATGTGAACCACGGCATCTGAACTAAAGCATACACTGAAAAAAGTGTCTCATTAGATCAAAGTAAAAAAATTGCGTCAACTGGTTACATCTAATTGATTTACTTTCTATCAACTTAAAATTTTTACTTTGAAGAGAATTAACCATCCATTACTTAGCTAAAGTAAAAATTAATCTTTGAATCAAATAAAGTTTTTAAGTTGAATGAAATATCAAATTATACTTTGTCTTAATGTTTTCTTAAGTTGTATTGACTTAATTATTGTACTTTACATATCTAACCAAATATCCAAAAAAATACAATTTAAAATATTAATGTATTATAAAGAAATTTATTTACTTTCAGAATGTGTAATTTTATCATTTAAGAAAAATGACTTCAAGCATCAAACTTTTGACAATTTATTTTGTCATAACTTTTTCTTTTACGTGTACAGTATCCTCATACACAATGTCTAACAATGTAAACATCAAACTTCAGCAGAAAATTGTAGCTGGGTCAAAGGAAACAAATTTACCCCTGCAGCTTTGAAGAGAGGTTCTGCACCCTTCGGCTCATCTGCTTACTCTCTATGTCCATGATTATTATCTGAAAGGCCTCAAAAGTATATTTGAGTCCTTCAGGATATTTTAGGTTCAGTGCATAAACGAGTCCAAACATCATGGCACAGGCACAGGCAACAGTGGGCAACTCCTTCAGTACTTCCACACCTTCAATGGCAATGGAAATGTCCAGCACACGACTAAGAGCATCACTTTCACAGATCACAAAAAATGCCATAGTGGTCTTTTCAAATTCTCTCTCCGCTTCCTCCCTCTGGTCATCCTAAAAACATACAAAAACAGAGAGCAATTGAGGGACTGTGGAAGAAGAAAAAAACCCCCAGCCCCAAAATTTAGTTAGCTGTACTACTAAGGTCAATGTAGAGCCCAAACATCTGTTGTTAACTTTAATTAAAATATCTTCAATAAAATTTGTAGGGTTTATTACAAGAGTAGAGTAAGTGATGACAATTTTCATTTTTGGGTGACGATGTACTTTTACACTCTCTTTAGCTTTGAAAATGCTTTTAAACACTTTCAAAGGCTCCCAGTTGCTGACCATTGTAGACAATCACAGACATATTTGTTGAGTGCAGTACCACAATGGCCAATCAGAGGCATTTATCAATCCACTCAACAGTGTTCAAAATGCATTTTGGGGTGAACCAACCCCTATTAAAGGAGTAATTCAAGGGATGGGCAACGATTTATCGCGATTAATCGTTAGCAAAATAAAAGTTTGTGTTTACATAATATATGTGTGTGTAGTGTGTATAATTAATTTGTATATATAAATACCCACACATGCATGTATATATTTAAGAAAAATGTGTTATTAACATGTCAAATATTTATATATAATACTAATTATGTATAAATATATATAAAGTATATACATGCAAATATTTCTTAAATATATACATGCATGTGTGTGTGTGTGTGTGTGTGTATTTATATATACAAATTAATTATACACACTACATACACATATATTATGTAAACACAAACTTTTATTTTGCTAACAATTAATCGCGATTAATCGTTGCCCATCCCTAAGTAATTCAAAATAAAAATTCTGTCATCGTTTAAATTTCTCTTGTCATTTCAAACCAGTATGAATTACTGTACTCTGCAGAATTTTGAACAGCGTTGGTGACAGAACAGCACAGCCCCCATTCACTGTTATTGTATGGACACAAAACCAATGCAAGTGAATGGGGGGCTCTTAAAGGATTAGTCCACTTAAAAAAAACCTTTTGCTGATAATTTACTCACCCCCATGTCATCCAAGATGTCCATGTCTTTCTTTCTTCAGTCGAAAAGAAATTAAGGTTTTTGATGAAAACATTACAGGATTTTCTCCATTTAATGGACTTCATTGGGAACCAAACGGTTCAAGGTCCAAATGACAGTTTCAGTGCAAACTGTTCAAAGGGCTTTAAACGACACCAGACGATAAATAAGGGTCTTATCTAGCAAAACAATCGGGCATTTAAAAAATAATAAGTTTTATAAGCACAAATGCTCGCCTTGCTCTGTTCTGTGATGCACGTTCGTTTCAACATAATTGTGTATTACGTGACGTCACGAACGCGCATCACAGAACAGAAAATTGAAACTCATTTGGACCTTGAACCATTTGGGGTTTATTGAAGTCCATTATATGGAGAAAAATCCTGGAATGTTTTCATCAAAAACCTTAATTTCTTTTCGACTGAAGAAAGAAAGACATGGACATCTAGGATGACATGGGGGTGAGGAAATTATCAGCAAAACTTTTTTTTAAAGTGAACTACTCCTTCTTCAAAATACATTCTTTTGTATTCTGTGGTAGAAAGTCACACAGGCCGATGTGTAAATGATAACAATTACTTTTGAGCGATATGTCACTACCAAACTTACTAAATTAAATTAAACTAAATTAAATTGCGCGAGAACTGAAATGAAGTAGTTGAAGGAGATCGCAATTCTCGCGCATGCGTCGTGGAAATCTAAGGAAGTCTCGTTTCAGGCCAACAAGGAAGAAAAGGAATAGTCGAATAAAGTCGTTATTTTTGTTTGTTTTTTCGCACAAAAAGTATTCTCGTCGCTTGATAAACTTATAGTTGAGCCACCGTAGTCACCTGGGATATTTAAACATTTTCTTCATTGACTTTCTGGGCCGTCAAGAGCCAGTCCCTTAGGAAGCCAATGTGGTAGTGAGACAGCTCTCAAATTTAATCAAAATATGTTCATTTGTGTTGCGAAGATGAACGAAGGTCTTACGGGGTTGGTACAGCATGGGGGTGAGTAATTAATGACTTAATTTTCATTTTTGGGTGAACGAACCCTTTAAGGCAAACATGGTTGGACAAAATTTCAGCAATTTGTCTACATTACCTGGTATTCTTTGATCAGACAGCTTGCATCTTCACCAAGGTACATGATCAGGCACTTCAGCAGGCACTCTCTTCTGACGTCTATGTCCGGACTCTACAAAATGTATTGTTTTTATTAGACCAAAACACTACTAAATTGATTGCCACAAGCAATTTTGTTCTCATGCAACCAATATCTGATCCATAACTTTTATAGTATCCTTAGTTTTTTCACGAAGGAGTCCACCTTCGCTCCTGATCACCTGGAGAAGCTGAGAGCTCTGTCTGTCCAAAGAGGCCATAAATCTTGATTGCAAAGGTAAGGTCGTGATAAGAAAAAAATTCGGCATTAATCTACAAGAAAGAGAAACAGAAAAAAGTGATTTTACTTTCAGAATTAGTTGTAAAAATACATAAACACAAAGCATTAAACAACAAAAGTTATAATTAGGGCATCCAAGACATTTTCAAAAATACTACATACCAAAATTCAATTATAAAAACTATGGTAAATTCAGGATTAGTCACATTTAAAAAAATTTCATTACAAATAAATGCTTTTACCTCCTCTTGTTGAAACAGAGCTGGCCATCCAATGCACTAATGGTTCTGATGTGATATTTCTGTGAAACTATTCGCTGGTGAAATAGAACAAAACCTGTCAATCACTGTATGATTAACTTAATGAATCTATGATGTAGGCTAATTACATCGCACGTACATCTCTGGTTTGAGTGCGCGCGTGCGCGCGCGCGCTCTGAACTAATCTTACGCGATGACTAATCTGAACAACTTTTGATTATTAGAAATTGCATTCATAAACTCAAAAGAATCGCGTGTGTTTGTTCTAATGCGCAACGCGATTATCGTATAAGAGATGCCTTTTGAGAAGACTCAACCCACCAAAATGATAGAGGGAGTAACATTACTTTGTTACACACCACAGCTGAAACCCACACGCGAATGGCGGGTGTTAATGTCAAGCCCTGATATATTATGTTTATAACACGCCCAAACATATGTTTAAAATTACTTACCAATTTTCTTGCTTCCCGTTTTCCCACGCTGAGTTCTTCCATGCGGTTTAACAAGATGGCGGAAAGCTGAACGTCTCACGCACGACCACGGCACGGATGACGTCAGAAGTCACGTGACAACGGAAACCAATATTTTTACTTTAATTTAAAGAAATCCATTTACTTTACACTAACAATACTTACTTTTAATTTAAATCAACGAAAAATTTTACATTAAACTGATGGCTAGATAGAAAATTAATTGTTTTGTGTTACATCAAGTATAAAAATTTCTTTAGAGTAATGACATGCCTTGTTCACTTTTTTCAGTGTACACTTTCCCTTATATATTTATTTACAGTATATTTAACCTGTTAACTGTCACCCCCCCTTTTTTGAATAGACATGAAAATGCACATTTCGAACTTAAATGGTTGTAATTCAAGAATGCTTTGGAATATAGACATATGATTGGTCTTGTTTTAAAGAAGACATTTGGCAGATTTTTGTAGAAGTGAAATAAATTAAGAAAGTGAAACAGAAAAAAAGTTATAGAAGTTTGAGTTTATGGAAATGTACAATGTAAAAATATTAATTATTCATATTTTACATAAAATATATATTTTCAAAACCTGGGCTACTCTAAAATGGCAGAAAGATCAAAGCCAAAAATCTGAACAAGTTGTGTTTCAAATTTTAGGTTGATATCTCAAAAAATGAGCTTTCAGTGAGATTTTGTTTGAGCGCAGTACCAAACTTTTTCACTAGGGCACAATCAGACTCCATTACTGCCCATATAAGGGCGCCTGCATTTCCATTCGTGTTTTGAGTGATATGAACCATTATTTTCACAATTTTCATACAATTTCTGAAGTAGAGATCCTATTCAGAAGTAGCATGGGCAGATTTTGATATGAATTGAACCTCTAAGAAACACATACAAAGAACACGCATGTAAGTCATAGCTAGCTGCCACGTCACAAATGGTGAATTTATTATTTTTTTCTTGATATTTCAAACTTTTCAGACCTTTTTTTTCCAAAATAATTGAATGGATTCTATCTTTTGAACTTTTGCCATGAAAACAAACTGAGGTTTCTACCATTTTTTCATGATTTTTCATGTTTACTGCTATTTTAAAATAAAGGTCTGAACACGCCTTATGAGTATGAAAATATTCTTGTTTTATATTGATAAATTATGGCTCCTCTGTAATATATTTTGAAAATCAGTCACCAAATATAGAAACTAGAGATTGTAAGCTTTCAAATGATATATAGTTTGTCAATATTATTTAAGGTATTTACTAAGATATTATTGTTTTAAAAATATAGCGGCAAACGTCCCACCTGTGGGACGGTGACAGTTAAGTGGTTAAGGCTAAAATCTACATGTGTTGTGGCAGATTTTCAGTCTCAATTCAAATCATCAAAGTCTGGTCGAGGTCAAGAGTCGAGGTTTCAGGTCTCAGAAGAAGTTACTTTATTGAACAGGTCAACAAAGTGAGATGTGGCCAAGCATCTAAGTTTACAACAATCAGTGGCCAAGTCTTATACCTTCTTTTTGTCTTGTGATATCCAATTAGCACTCAACTCGTTATCTTTTCCCTCTTTGCTCCTCCTTTTTACTCCTACCAGATTAAAAACACCTGCATCATTATTTTATTTTTTTAATTGTGGCAACCTTCTTTGCGCATGCGTATCTTTTAAAAATGGCGTTATACATGATTTTTCAGGTGTTTTTCCATGCCCTTTCACCCAGTTTCTTCTCCTGTCCTTACTTGACTTGCCTTTTGGCCTAGTGATACCCAATTAGCGCTCAGCTCCTCCTTATCACTTGTCCCGAATTGAAAACACCAGCATCATTATTTTATTTCCAATTGGGACGATCTCCTTTGCGCATGCGTATCTTTTAAAAATGGCTTTATACATGATTTTCAGGTACTTTTCCATGCCCCTTTCACCCAGTTTCTTCTCCTGTCCTCACTTGACTTGCCTTTGCTCGGCATTACCTCATTCAGACCCATGCGTGCCTCTCTCACATGTACATAGGACAAGCAGAATTCTCCAACACATGTAAACTAACATTTAAAGGGGTCATCATGACATGTATTTAAATTTTTTTATATGTCCCTTGTGGTATTATAATGTTAAAGAACCCTTCAACCTTTATTCCGACCCTCTTCCATCCACATAAAAGCATAATTTACAGACAAAGCATTATGAAATCATTTACTTATGTTGGTGTTTGTCAGATTCAATACATTTGCTGGTTCATCTTTCAACTAAAGTTTCTTTGTGAGCTCTCCATTAATTGTGCCTCGCTGACAAAACAATCTTCAGTCAAATGCTCCAAACAAACATATAACCCTGCGACGCCATTAAAATAAACCATCCACTTGTTTCAGATGCTGGGATCCTTCTGAAGTCTTCACAGAGACACAAATGAGCCGTTTAAACTGGACGAACCTTCTTTCCCTCTTTCATTTGTCCTGTTGTCGACAGACTCAAGTGTGTGGAGTTCATCAGAAACTGAACAGACATCTGTATAGTGTATCAGTGTAGACAGCATCAGTCATTATAATGGCTTGTATTTGCATTTGACGCGACGCTCACATCCAGTTAGGGTTAGGTATTGTTTCAATTTAAGCGATTCCGATTCTTTTTTCTGATTCCAGTATTTTTTGGAGAATAAATACTTGAAGAATGAATATTTCTACCTTTTATTCTTGCCAATTTTAAGCCATAACCATTAAACTGGCTAAAGCGCAAGGAGTCTCTTCAAATAAAGATTGTGTTGATTACATTAGTACTCCTGTATTTTTTTTATTGAATCATTTATTCAAGACTCAAGAGATTCATTAAAATATGGTGAATCATTCATTAATGAAACAGGTATTTATGAATGACACAGTGAATTAATACGTTTTCAAATAAATATATATTTTTTAAATAGACTAAATCATGTTATTCTTTGTAGTTATTTGATGTATGTAATCATGATCTCCATTTTAAACAAAACAAAAACGATTTTAAAACAATCGTCTGGAAAAACGATTGTGCCGCACCGCATGCAAGTTGCGACCGCGTCGCTTCTATTATGAGAGGGCTTACCGCGCGTCTACATTTAAAATAACGAATCTGCATGCACAAAAACGATATATGTCAACAAAGTCAGGAATCGATAAGCGGAATTGAAATGTTTTTTTGGAAATTTGTTACCGGTTTTAAAATAGATCTCGATACCCAACCCCACATCCAGTGTAGGCAAATGTCAGCGTTAAGTGACTGAACACTAGTGGGCGGGGCCTATGATGTGATGATGTTTAACTATTCGTCGATGTCTTGCTCTGGAGGCAGTCATATGCAAATGCCCATGTGACGTCACAGATCTTACAATATCACAGCGAGTTGTTTTTTGGAGCTTGATCAAATAAACACTTTGTTCATAATGAGGAGAACGCTTTAAACTACGAAACTTGCATAAAGTATAGAGACCTCTTATGTCAAAAGATCAAATGTCATGATCCCTTAAAATGTTATGTTTTTTTTAAAGAAGTATGTTATGCTCACCAAGGCATCATTTATGATACAGTAAAATAGTGAAATATTACAATTGGGGAAAAAACAAACAAACTGTTTTCTATTTGAATGTTGTGATTCATTCATGTGAGCCTCATTACTGCAGTCTTCAGTGTCACATGATCCTTCAGAAATCATTCCAATATGATGATTTGCTGCTCATGTTTTTGCTACTGAATATTTTTGCGGAGACTGTGATACATTTCTTTCATGATTCTTTGATGAATAGAACGTTTTGTAACATTATAAATGACATTAATGTCACTTTTGACCAATTTAAAGCTTCATTTTGGAAAAAAAAAAAATTAATAATAATAAAAATCTCTAACCAACCCCGAAATTTTAAACGGTAGTGTAAACTGTCAACGACTCCAAATGCAAAGCCTTAAACATATAAATGTTTTAATTGAAATGCCTGGGATGTTTGTAATGCATAAATCACCTGAATGTTTTCACTCCTGTAGCTCTTCACGGTCACTGGAGACGGACTCAGCTCGTACTTCACGTTGGGAATTTTTGTCGGTGCGAAGCTGATCAAGAGGAAATGATTTGAGTAACAGAATGTTACTTTCATATGAAACTGGTAATGAAACTGGGTGTTTTAGTCACAGAAACGCACCCACCTATTACTGACACCCTGCAGTCCAAACTCAGATAAAATCTCCTTCATCACTATATAACAGTGTGCAGGAAGTAATAGATCAAGCTCAAATAAAAGTAAAACAGGTGATTGGTGTTTAGGAGTCGGTAACATTAAGTACCTGGCTGTCTCTCCGAGGGGTTTATCAATTTCATTATTTTCAAGTCATTAAATTCTTGCTCTTCATTTTTGCCCCCAAAAACATAAAGCTGCAACCAAGAAGAAAGAAACTCACTTTAAAATCAACTAAGTTACATCTAAAATACTAAAACACATTTCGCATCTGTTAAACATGTACCAGTGCTGTTTGTTTGTTGTTGTAATTTTAACTGTAAAACCTTAGGTTAGCAAGTAAAAAAAAATAAAAAAAATAACATAACATCCTGTGGAATTATACAGTAAAAAACTGTTAAATTGAACATTTTTAGTAAAAACAACAAATCGTATTATTTACAGTAAAAAGCACATACTGTAAGAAAATTAAGCAACACTTTACAATAATGTTTCATTTATTAACATTAGTTAGGAATAAAAAAAATACTGTACTTCAGAAGCATTTATTCATTTGAGTTATTATCATTGTTAGTTTATGTTAATGTATTAACTAATGTTAACAAATGCTTATTGTTGGTTTAACTTAAAATTTTAAGTTCATTGAAATGGAAAAAGTGAGTTAATACAATGAAGGAGAATGAATTAATCATCAGAAACTCAAAATTATATGTTATCTGAACTAAATAAATTGTTTACAGTTTTTTTTATTCGCTTTGGTACTATTTTCACAATCAAGGTGTACATTTTCAAAACTCTTAGTACAAAAATCCAAACTGATCACACTTGTAACGCAGCTAGTCATTCTTTCAAAACCTGATATAATGCTTTCAGTCAGTTGCACATGTTTTCAGTCCACGTAATCATTATTTCAAACACAAGATTATTGTAATATGTAATGAGAACATTTGGTTTAATCACTGAAACACAACAATATGATCTTCTTTCAGTTTAGTACTTTTAACAATCAATTCATCCAACAGCAAACAATGCAAGATACATGTTTCAAATCGGCCTTAGAAGTGCTGAAATGAATATGCTACAGTAATATACTGTAAAAGACAGATTACACAGTTTTACTGTAACATTAGGCAATACACTTACAGTACCCAACATTTACATAATCTATAATTTCAAAATATCCATATGTAATCAAGTGAAGGATCAATGAAGACATCCTCTACAATCATTTACAGTATATAGTGGCCAAATGTGGTTACCACTATGTGAAATCAATTAGCTATAACGAGTATTCATCATGTGTGGTTACATGTAATTTAAATATTCATACAAACACACATTTTCTTTCTGTAGTTCTCAAAATCCATATACTGTATATTGCTGAAATGAAAATCTATAGGTTTACCAAATGATTAATTGATTAACCATTAAGATCTGTTGGATTAAATAATAGACAAAAGTATTAAACTGAACAAAAAGAGATGCAAATCAAAAGTTTGATAGTAAGAGCTTTATGAAAGGCAGTTACTGTGAATGAAACAGTAGATGAAACACTTATTTTGTGTTGTGAAAAGGATACTTTGTGATTGTGTGAATTGTACTAACACAGTTGAAAACACGATGAAATGTTTGAAAAAAGTGCACTTTTGATGATCTGTTGTGATATTAGCACTAAGAGTTTTGAAAATGTACACCTTACTTGTGAAAATAGTACCAAAGCGAATAAAAAAAACTGTAAGTTGATTTGACAAAAGAAAAAATGTTGTGATTACTAATCATGAAAAGATTTTTTTACAGTGGTAAAGTTAAAAAATTACTGGTTTTGGTAAAAAATTACTAAAACCAACTAAACTTAAACTGAAAAATTAAACATAAAAGATATTTCAAAATATCAATAAATACTATAATTGTAATAACCATATGAAAGTAACACTGACATGTCATATCAAACATTTGGACACATCTATTCATCCTTCATTCTGACTACTTTTTACATTTTGTAACTTTTACTGTCTACATTCCAGCTCTGCTTATTCTGGACTTTCATCAAGCAACTTCATGAGGTGCATCATGAAATGCTTTTTGAAGAAGGAACGATATGCATTAAGCATTTCATGCAGCTTTTCCTTCAACTCATTCATTAAAAAAAGAAAAAAAAAGAAATGGAAATCAGTTAAGCAGAAGCCTTTAGATTAATTGTTTCTGTGATCCTGAGAAACAGTGTGAGTCGAGTGTTCCCAGGCTTTTGAATGGCAGTGTATGTAAAACAGACTCACATACATGACTGTGGACGATGAAAGCCGCGTGTCCGTGACGTCTGGCGGGAGGGATGCCCACATACAGCGGGACCTTCCACTTCATCTTTGCTGGTGAAACAGGAAGAGTGTTAGTGTCTGTTCATTCACTGAGTTTCTCAGTTTGGCTTCTCATCTTACCGATGCTTAATTTGTGAATTTCATTGCTGGATGATACCGCTCCGTCTGGATTAGTGATTGTTCCCCCAAATAAGTAAATATCCTGAATCAAAATAATAACAGTGTATTATATGAAAAGTGTGACATAAGAAAAGTTCAAACACCATTTTTACTTTTGCTCATACTTTAGTTTTGTCCGAAATCTTTAAAGACTTTTCGTCCTGCATTTCTGAGTTTTTTCATTTCAAAAGATTGGGGGTGTAAGATGTTTTTGAAAGAAGTCTCTTTTGCTCACCAAGGTAAAGTAAAATTGTAAAATTGTGAAATATTATTACAATTTAAAATAACTATTTTCTATTGATATATATTTAAAAAATATAATTTATTCCTGTGATCAAAGCTGGATTTTCAGCATCATTACTCCAGTCCTCAGTGTCACATGATCCTTCAGAAATCATTCTAATGTGCCACAATTCTTTTTAAAAAAGTCTTTACAGTCACTTTAGAATCAATTTAATGTGTCCTTGCTGAATATAAGTATTCATTATTATTTTTTTTAAATCATACTGAAACCAAACCTTTGAACAGTAGCGTATAAACCCAGTCATGTACTCTAGTGTACCTTGTCATGATGTGACGTAAAGGTTTGACCGGCACAAACAACAGGAGACTCTCCTTTTACCTGACACTGTTCCCACACCAGAGTCTCTATGGGGGAAAAGACATAGTTCATTACAGTCAGACGAATTAGTCCTTCAATTATAACTGCAATCTTTCGGTGCAAAGCTATACCCCAGTATTCCTGTTGTTGTAAGGTTGTAAACTTTTTTGTACCTGTAATTGTATTATTTTTTGTACCTGTAAATCTCTTATTTTTATTTATTTATTTATTTATTTATTTATTTATTTTTTTTATTTTTTTAAATATTATTAATATTATTAATAAATATTATTAATATTAAAATAAAAATATATGTTATCTTTTTTTTTTTTTTACCTGTCCAGCGCTTTGATCAACTCATGGTTGTTGTAAAGCGCTATGTAAATAAAAAAATTATTGATTGATTGATTGATTTTAGATTTGTAGATTTTTGATTTGAGTCAGAGAGAGTTATCCTCACATTTTTGAAACAAACACAGACCATATACTTTAGAAAATAAATATAATAATAAACTAAATAAATAACATTTCTGTGTCATCTGTGCATTTTGTTCCTCTGAATGACGGCTGCTGGCACAAACCTTTTTTTATCTCGCATTGTTCTGCACTTTTAGACGGTAAACCTCGCAGAAATGCACTGTGCAAAGGGTGGGAATCATCATTTAAAATGTATCCGCTGTACCTGTATTCAATGCATACATGTCTTTGAGTTGAGACCCATCCTCAGAACATCCACCAAACAAGAAGATCTGCTCTCCGACCACAGCAAGTGAGTGATTATATCTGCAGAACAAAAGAGGAAGAACAAGATCAGATGAAAAGACAGCAGATGCTGGCCTTGAGTCTCTGGAATAGGAAAACCACAAAATGAATTCAGCTGTTAAAACGGTAGTTTGAAACAGATGGCCCAGGATTACGGCTTCATTTTCAACAATCATTCAGTCAGCTAAAGTTACAATATATGTACTGTTTTATATGTTTTTTTTTTGCTCACAGTTGTAAAGTTAAATCTCATATTCAGTCAGATCACTATTTACCTTTCTGAAGGTAGAGTTCCTGTAGTTTTAATAGGCATCCAATTCAATGACACTAAAAGAAGTAAAGTATAAACATACAGTTAGTTACTAACAGGACACTTCATCCAAATATTTAAAAAAAAAATGTTTCTCTCAAATATTTCTTGACTTTCATTATGCTTTTGGGGTTTGGAAAAACATAAGAGTGAGTAAATAGGGCTCTGTTCTGTGATGCGCGTTCGTGACTCTCCTGTTCGAACTCGTTCATCAAAATGAACAAACCTTTTTTTGGAGTATGAACCAAATGACTCGAAAAAAAGATTTGTTCACTTTGATGAACGAGTTCGAACAGGAGAGTCACGAACGCGCATCACAGAACAGAGCAAGGCGACCATTTGTGCTTATAAAACTAAAAAAATTATTTATTTTATTTATTTATTTATTTTTGAAATGACCGATCGTTTTTCTCTTGATAAGACCCTTATTCGTCGTCTGGTGTCGTTTAAAGCCCTTTGAAGCTGCACTGAAACTGTCTTTTGGACCTTGAACCGTTTGGACCCCATTGAAGTCCATTATATGGAGAAAACCCTGGAATGTTTTCATCAAAAACCTTAATTTCTTTTCGACTGAAGAAAGAAAGATATGGACATCTTGGATGACATGGGGGTAAGTAAATTATCAGCAAAAGTTTTTGTTTAAAGTGAACTACTCCTTTAACTATAGTTAAAAAGCTATTAACTATGACTATGACCTCTGACTATAACTATGACTTTTGCCTCAATAATCTCCTATTTTAATGTTTATAGTTAGTATGGTAGTTGTTACGTTTAGGTATTGCGTGGATTAGGGCATTAATATGTGCTTTATGTGTTTTAATATTAGTAATGTGCATACTAACAACCAACTAGTTCATAGTGAGAACTGGACCCTGAACTAAAGTGTTACCAAACTCAGTTATTTCATAATAGCTGGAGATTCCCAACCTTTAACCACTTGTATAAACATAACCAACCACAAAACCATATGAAATAATCTCCATGATTTAAAATGATAAGAATGTGTGATGTGATTTTAATTCATTATTTAAAAATGTAATTTTCAATATTACGAAACATCAGTCAATCAAGCATATTTGTACTTATAAAACATGACATCATGTGAACATTTTCATAATAAACAGAAGAATTAATATCATTTAACGGCTGCATGAGACATAATAGGTATCACTATATGTCATCAAAATGTGTATATGAATATTAAAAACACATTTAATGTCTTACAATTCTAACATTTAACAAAGATAATTTGTTTCTGTTGTCTTTCATCTCAACCCACAAAAAAACGTGACAACTTTACATTGCTGAACACGTTTAAAGTCAATCAGAATTGACCCTATTTACTCTGTTGGCGCTCATTACAAGTCTTGTGGTGAACAATTAATCTCTGCAAGTTAATAAAACAAAAAAGTTAGTTTGTCGTGGTAATCTTCGTTCCTTCGTCAGTTTGACGCCTTTGGTTTTGATATCCTTAACCACTTCCCTCCAACTGTCAGACTGCAATGAGCGAGAGATGGAGAGGAGGTGCGCTAAAATAAAACCCAGACCTCAATATTATGTTTCACTTGGGAATATTTCACAACACTAAAGGAAACTCGGTTGCAACTTCTGGTCCACAGAGACTTTAATAACGCCGTCCAGTGTCTGAGATGGACAGGGATTGGTGAAGTCCTCACAGTACTGACCTGTGTTGAACATCATGAGATCTCCAGTCGGGACTTCACCCGAAATCCCTCCGTACACATAGATATTCTCTCCCAGAGCTGCTGCGCTGTGTCTCAGTGTCCGCAGAGACACGCCGGCAGTGAGCAGCTTCTCCCACGTCAACGTCACTGAGAATGACAAGACAAAACATTACGCAACTTAACTAAACAACAAAAGCTATTCATTTTCATCTAAAGTAGTCATATGCAGTGACACTCACAGTAGTATGCACAATAAATGGTCTACACTGTGAAAAAATACATTTTCAAGATTTGTTATCAAAACATTTTTTCTTTTGTTAAATCAACTTAAATAATTTATTTAGTTGAGATAACTTATTATTTTGAGTTTCTGATGATTAAATTAATCTCCTTCATTGTATCAACTCACTTTTCCAGTTCAATCAACTTAAAATTTTAAGGCAACCCAGGTTACTTACTTTTTTAAGTTAAACCAACAATATTTTTTTGCAGTGTAGTGTCTTACCAATGTCAAAGCAATAGACGCCTGGGAGACACTCTTTAGCGTCAGGATGTGAGGAGCCTCCAAACAAATAGAGTTTTCCTTTCACAACACTATGGGAAAATGGAAAGCATGTTTTGATTATGTCACTTTTATCATCAAAATTAAGTGTGTAAATACTGTATATATATATATATGCACCTCTTGATGGAAATAAATGTTGTGATGTTAGTTACATCAATGCTATCATCATATTCATGCTCCTCACAACCATTTCATTGCTTTACATTTGAAGTTAGGAAAAGGTAAATATCCCAGTTGATATTGCCCATTATTGACTCTGATGATTGTCTTTCGAAAATCATATTTCATATGTTACAAGAACAGCCTTTTTCCACCTTAGAAACATTGCTAAGCTACATAACATGCTATCTGTTTCTGATGCTGAAAAATTAGTTCACGCATTCATGACCTCGAGACTAGATTACTGTAATGCTTTATTAGCCGGTTGTGCTGCATCCTCAATAAACAAGCTACAGTTAGTACAAAATGCAGCTGCTAGAGTTCTTACTAGGTCAAGAAAATATGATCATATAACACCGATTTTATCATCTCTGCACTGGTTACCTATTAAGTTCCGCATCAACTACAAAATACTACTACTGACCTATAAAGCCCTAAATGGATTAGCTCCTATGTACTTAACGGACCTTCTTTCGCCCTACAATCCACCGCGTTCCTTAAGATCACTAAATTCAAGGCTTCTGGTCATTCCTAGGATATCTAAGTCCAGTAAAGGAGGGAGGGCGTTCTCGCATTTAGCTCCAAAACTCTGGAATGGCCTTCCCGATACGGTCCGAGGCTCTGACTCGCTGACACAGTTTAAAACTAGATTAAAGACGCTTCTCTTTAGTCAAGCATTCACATAATGCTTACCTTCTAGTCCTCTGTTATGCCATACGGAACCGTTTGCCACTGAAACGCAATACCGCGACAGTGGGGCTCGACAGCCTTAGTCAAACGGGTCGGCGCGTATGGTTGGGTTGCGGAGAGTTCAGGTTACGGAGAGTTTGTGAGATAGTGGTTTTCTAACAACGACTCCCGTATAATGGAAATCATTATGAACATCAGCTATGCTAATTATTTCCCATCTGCCTTTCTGCTGTTATCTCGGGACGCTTGTCCCGAGAAAAATGGCGTTCGTCAGGTCCAGTTTTGTGTCCAGCCTCTCACGGGGATTTCGGATGCCCCAACGCCTGTGATGAGACGACTCAACGCCTGTGAAGAGACGACTCAGCGCCTGCGATATGTTATGGCGCCGTTTTATACTTAAACAATATTATATTTAACATTTATATATAAACAATATGAATGTAAGCCAGAGGAGAACTGGCCCCCGACTGAGCCTGGGTTCTCCCAAGGTTTTTTCTCCATCCAATCTGATGGAGTTTGGTTCCTTGCCACTGTCGCCTTGCTTTTGGCTTGCTTTGAGCTTGCTCAGTTGGGGTTATTTAGTGTTTAGCAATATTGTTGATCTGTGTTGTACTACTTTCATGTTATCACTGTGAAGCTGCTTTGATACAATCTGTATTGTGAAAAGCGCTATATAAATAAATGTGACCTGACCTGATGATATTATTTACATGAACACTAGTGAAGCTGCTCTTAAGCCACTCAATGTTGTTTTTAACTCTGTAGATTTGTCCTTTTAAAACACACCATTGTGTAATAATGTATGCATCATTGAAATGGCTTCAGCTGAAATCAAAAAGAGACTTTCATTGGTTTCTTTATATTTTTAAATGTGCCTATTACGAATGTCCTCCATATCTGAGAGAACTCTTGGTTCCACGTAGTTCTTTGTATCCTTTTCGAGATATGCAATCTCTTGTCTTTACAGTACCAGGAATCAGCCACTGGTAAAAAAAAATCTTTTCACTATAATGCTACTAGTGATTGGAACAATCTTCCTCTTTTCTTGAGGTCCATCTTATCTAAAGGGATACTCCACTTCTTTTTTTGGAAATAGGCTCATTTTACCGCTCCCCCAGAGTTAAACGTTTGAGTTTTACCGTTTTCAAATCCATTCAGCCGATTTTATGATATTTAGAAGAATATCAGACAGTAACCAGACAGTTTCTGGTCCCATTGACTTCCATAGTAGGAAAGAAATATACTATGGAAGTCAATGAGACCAGAAACTGTCTGGTTACTGATATTCTTCGAAATATATATATATATATATATATATATATATGGCTGAATACATTCGAAAATAGTAAAACCAAACTATTTAACTCTGAGGGAGTGGTAAAATGAGCCTATTTCCAAAAAAATTGGAGTATCCCTATTCCAATATCTAAACACTATGTGCATGCTACTGATCTTGGACTGAATAGTATTGCTTGCAATTGTCATTTGTTTAGTGGAATCGTCTAATTGATTTATCTCCTGTTGATTCAACCTCAGTCCTTCTTATGTAGCACCTTTTTGTTTACTGAATTTCCTGTACTATGGTTTCAATTGTATAATGGTGTCAGAGCTATGATGTGTATTAGGTTTATGGTAATGGTGTGAGCTGCTTAGTAGCTCAATGAGTGTGTGTTTTTGTTGTTGTTGTTGTTTTATGTTATATGTATTGGACCCTCTTGAAAATGAGATGTTGCATCTCAAGTGGCTATTCATTAATAAATTGTAGGGCTGTCAAATGATTAATCGCATCCAAAATAAAAGTTTGTGTTTACATAATATATGTGGGTGCACTGTGTATAATTATTTTGTGTATATATATATATATATATATATATACACACACACATATACACACACACACACACACACACACACATGCATGTATATTTAAGAAAAAAATATTATTTATATATAAAATATTTATATTCATATATAATATAAATTATACATAAATCTACAGTATATACATGAAAATATTTCTTAAATATACAGTATACAAGCGTGTGTATTTATTTATACAAAATAATTATACATAGTGCACCCACATATATTATGTAAACACAAACTTTTATTTTGGCTGCGATTAATCACGATTAACCATTTAACAGCCCTAATAAATTGAAATATATTTTTGGTCAAGATCTTGTATTGACAATGCAAGAGTCCAGCACTCTGTAAAGTCTCCTCCAGCACATCCCAAAAACTCTCAATGAGTTTAAGCTCTGGACTCAGAGGAGACGATTCATGTGTGAAAATGATTCTTCATGCTTCATGTTTGAGCCTGGTGAATCTTCATTGTCATCCTGGAATATGGCCATGATGTGTCTTCATACATGGTTGTTTAAGAAATGCAAAGCTACACTCCATCAATGAGTGTTAGAAGATCTGCTGTCAAACATAACCAAGTGTCACTCAGTGTCTCAATTCACTCACTCGTTTTCATTCACTCCTTCAAGTAAACTTTATAAGTGAAGTAATGTAGGGAATGGTGAATGAGGGTGTTGGGGAAGATTACAAACACAGCCACAGTTTTTTAGCAGTCATGTTTCTCCTCCTACTACAGTAACGCCAAGTTACGTTCAAAATCGTAAAAATACGATCGCTACTGTAGTCATCAGTGTTTATATCCGAATTATAAACCTTTATCCAAGTACTTCTGTGATCATTTGAATTATCGCAACACAGAAATAATGACACTGTATAGTTGAATAGACGTTCAACATTCAAATCTGAATGTTCACTGTTATTGAACTAGACACAAGATTAGGAACAATCGTGTGAGAGTTTAAATCAAGATAACAAACTTTTAGCAATATAACATAGTTTGTTAATACAATATATGCATTTAATATAGTATAGTCAGATAGTAATTTAATAAATCAGCTCTCTAGTTATAATATTTCACAATATTACTGTATTTCTGATCCAGTAAATGCAGCCGTGGTGAGCAGAAGAGACATCTTTCAAAAAACATGAAAAAACCTATAGTGTAATATCATTACCATAGAGTGTGTCCTTCTCTTACTGTGGGAACGTCACCTTTCTGGGGCATCAGCTCCCATGTTACTCCATTAGATGAAACTAAAACAGAAGAGAAAGTTAAAAGAATTAAACAAATGAACAAAACCAATTCATGCAAAATATTTGACCAAAAGTAGCCTACCTGTAATCATGTAAAAGTCATTAAGATATATCGGAGGGTCACCCTAAGGACGGAAAAATAGTTCTTATTGTTTCAAACGCATCGATCTTTTAATGAACACTGAAATAAGTGCAGTTTTCAGCAGTTTATTAGATTCACACACCTCTGTGATCGCGCTCGATGCTCCTCCAAACAAGAACGCAATATTTCCTGCGACAGTCATCGCATGGCCATATCTGTAAACAAGTGTAATGTGAGTCTAGCAATCTTCATTTAGTCATCACAAAAGACAGAGACACATAATGTAAGCAGTAAACTTACTTACCTTGGGCTTGGTGGGACCCCTACAATTGCTTTGTCAACCCAATGTCCACTTGCTAAAGCCATTTTAGCATTGGTTAAGTTATTTTCTGACACCTAATTGTGAAAACCAATAGGGAATGTATCATGTGCAAAATGTTTTACTGTCCCATTGGGAAACATTGACACACAGGCAAACTCTCTCTAGCAGCTGGTAAGAGGAGGATACCGGTTGCTTAGTGACACAAATAAACAAACTTTACCAGCTCCTCGTCATGATAACTGATCTGGTGCCGCAGATGCCCGAGGGAGCCATTTAACTTAATTGAGGCAAACCATGAACAGGATTAAGCCTTAAGACGGAATTGCTTCAGTCGAAAGTATTAATATCACATATATTAACTTAAATAGCTTGTATTCCAGTTATCAATTAAAAAAAAATAATAAATACAAAATAACTTTTACAAATATTTTCATTTATAAAATAGTATTTTGGTAATGCTTCCTTTTACAGTACTTACAGTGTACTTACCTTGAAATTACTGGCTAATATGGGTAGGTTTAGGGGTATAGGTTCAGGGTACTAGTTATTACCCAGTAATTGTAGTTACTAAAATAAGTACATAGTATTTACATGGGTAACTGGACTGTAAAAGGAGGTGTTACCAATATCTTTTTATATTTTATAATATAAAATATTATTGTGTTTAAATGCAATATTCAGCTTAGCTTTCTGTATTTTGCTTCCTGCTTTTCTTATTTAATGTATTATTGTACTATTTCAGGTTAGTTAAAATTTAAAAATGCACATAAATAAACATTTCACTATGCACAATCTAAGTGTATAAGTAGGGCCACATTACAAAATTTAACAATTTAATAAATGTTGACATATTTATATAAGACATATATTTAAAAAGATAAAAATAAATGTAAATAGTGGCTAGGTGAATGGATGGATGGAAATGACAGATGGATAGAGATAGATAGATAGTACAGAGATGGATGTAAGTATAGATGTATGTATGTAGTATGTATGTATAGGTAGATATATAGATGGTATTGATGGGTGTTTAGATAGATAGATAGATAGATAGATAGATAGATAGATAGATAGATAGATAGATAGATAGATAGATAGATAGATAGATAGATAGATAGATAGATAGATAGATAGATAGATAGATAGATAGATAGATAGATAGATAGATAAGGCCATAGTAATCAGTAATGATAGTGAAGAGTCATCCTCCACTGTGAGCCTTGGTAACATCCTCTGATAAGGTAATAAAGCGTGACGCAGCTCTGTCACTCGCCCAGTGAGAAACTGGTCCCTCACCCTGAGTCCAGATCAGCTGAGGGCAGCATCCGCCAGTGCACAGGAACCCAGAGCATCACATGATGCTGGTCCAGGAACAGCTGCGCATGCGCTATTTCACCCTCTCACCGCGCGGCGGCGCTGTTTTGCGCACTGCAGTCACGTTACACCAACACACGGCAAAGACAGTGAGACAGCAGCATTTTATCGGTACAGTCTGGTTTCTGCTGGATGTAAATAACTCATAGAAAGACTAAACTCATATTTTGGACGGCTGAACTCGCTGTTAAAGCTGGAAGGAGGTGGAGGACCACCGATATGCACTCAGCAGGATGGATTCTATGTTACTCACACGGGATGTGATGACATAATGATGAAGAAGATGATGATGGAGAAAGGGGAGATAGACCAGAATCACACCAGCCAAGTTGTGCTGGTCAAGAGGATCATAATGAAGCATGATAGTCCGGTAAGAATAAAATACAATCATACAATGAACATTAACGTCAGTTTATCCGTACCGTTACATACGTGCGCGCGCACGGAGCGAAGATAGCGGATCGGCTAGCTGACAAATCACAACACTTTATTTTTTTTAAAGAAATGAATCGTCGTTTTATCGTTTTGTGTATCGCTAAATATCGTCTAGGGTCTTTACGTCAGTTATTTTAGTGTTTCAAAACGTGTCATGGGTGATATCGATCGTTTTCAGCAAGGTGAGGAGAGATGCTAAAACCAACAGATTAGCCTATTGAAGCTCTGTGTTCGGCTATTACGTAACATGCGAACGCGCGCACAACACCTATCTATATCTGACGCACGCGCGCAATCTGTTGTCATGGGGACGCCGAAATCTTCATTCATTTATTCATTAGTCTGTGATGTCATTTGCACACCCTGTTGATCTTGAGTCTTTCAATAAGATTGTTACCTCATAAGTATTGCTTTCCCAATAAGATGAATGAAGTTCACTGTGAGATCTTACATAACATTTATCCTGAAAATGATACTGTGGCAAAATACATGGATGTTGACGGTTCTTGCTCATTTTGTGTGAATAAGGATGCAACACTGATTCATTTAATTTTTCAATGTGATTTTTTTCATATAGACAAACACCTTGAGTCTTCCAGATCCTTTCACTTAAAAAATATGATTATATTATAATAATCTAGAATAAAGGTACCAATAATACTCCAATGACTTTCATTAATTAAGTTCTCTAATGCACAGCCTACTTTTTCCACATTTCTTAAATCTCTTAGGTTGATTTAAAACAAGAAAAGAGAAAGATTCCTAAAATATTATGATATATATATATATTTTTTTTTTGGTAATACCACTGATGCATAATTGTCCCATCTGTATGTGTTTATAATGTTATATTTTTTTGTGAAACTTTACATGAAGATTCAATGAAATTACATTTCTGTAAAGGTCAGACCTGTTCTGTCTTTTCCTTCTGTTTATTGTTTGATGCATTCTAATGATAAAAAATAAGTGTTCAGAGCATCCAGCCTGAAAAAATAAGCCCTTCAATAAGACATTTAGTATATTTATTAATTAATAAGACAAATATTTGTTTGCTGGTTTGCTAATTTGTTAAATGCTGAAATGACAAAAAGTGCCCCAATTTACTTGAATAAAAAAAAGTGTATATATATATATATATATATATATATGTATATATATATATATATATATATATATATATATATATATATATATATATATATACACACACTCACCGAAAGGATTATTAGGAACACTTGTTCAATTTCTCATTAATGCATTATCTAATCAACCAATCACATGGCAGTTGCTTCAATGCATTTAGGGGTGTGGTCCTGGTCAAGACAATCTCCTGAACTCCAAACTGAATGTCAGAATGGAAAAGAAATAAGATTTAAGCAGTTTTGAGCGTGGCATGGCTGTTGGTGTCTGAGTATTTCACAATCTGCTCAGTTACTGGGATTTTCACACACAACCATTTCTAGGGTTTACAAAGAATGGTGTGAAAAGGGAAAAACATCCAGTATGCGGCAGTCCTGTGGGCCAAAATGCCTTGTTGATGCGAGAGGTCAGAGGAGAATGGGCCGACTGATTCAAGCTGATAGAAGAGCAACTTTGACTGAAATAACCACTCGTTACAACCGAGGTATGCAGCAAAGCACAACACACACAACCTTGAGGCGGATGGGCTACAACAGCAGAAGACCCCACCGGGTACCACTCATCTCCACTACAAATAGGAAAAAGAGGCCACAATTTGCAAGAGCTCACCAAAATTGGACAGTTGAAGACTGGAAAAATGTCGCCTGGTCTGATGAGTCTCGATTTCAGATGGTAGAGTCAGAATTTGGCGTAAACAGAATGAGAACATGGATCCATCATGCCTTGTTACCACTGTGCAGGCTGGTGGTGGTGGTGTAATGGTGTGGGGATGTTTTCTTGGCACACTTTAGGCCCCTTAGTGCCAATTGGGCATCGTTTAAATGCCACGGCCTACCTGAGCATTGTTTCTGACCATGTCCATCCCTTTATGTCCACCATGTCCCCATCCTCTGATGGCTACTTCCAGCAGGATAATGCATCATGTCACAAAGCTCCAATCATTTCAAATTGGTTTCTTGAACATGTCAATGAGTTGACTGTACTAAAATGGCCGCCACAGTCACCAGATCTCAACCCAATAGAGCATCTTTGGATGTGGTGGAACGGGAGCTTCGTGTCCTGGATGTGCATCCCACAAATCTCCATCAACTGCAAGATGCTATCCTATCAATATGGGCCAACATTTCTAAAGAATGCTTTCAGGACCTTGTTGAATCAATGCCACGTAGAATTAAGGCGAAAGGGGGTCAAACACAGTATTAGTATGGTGTTCCTAATAATCCTTTAGGTGTATATATACTGTATATATATATATATATATATATATAACACATACACACACACGTGAATATATATATATATATATATACTTGCACATGAGTATATGTGTGTATATATTTAATAATAGTTGAATTACTATTTGAATTGCCCAAACTCTCTACTGCATCATGTTTGGATGGGAAACAAGTTTCTTGTTTTCACCCTTATAACATCTGCGTGTTTCCTTCTTTATGTACAAATTGGATTAAATTACATTATTACTCACTAAGAGTAATCCGTAAGAGTACGACGAGACCGGCAAGTGCATAATAAGCAGTTCTTCAAGACTGTGAACTTCTGTCAGAAGTGGCTTGAGAGTCTGGCACAGCTGAATTTCGTTCCCCCTTTGTGCAGTGAAGTTTTTTGGTGACCCAAAGGAATAGCAATGAGATCAGTCCCATTGAAAGCTGAGGAGTTTGGAAACGTGCCACATTGAAGATTATAATCTGCATTTTTAATAATGAGCTGTTTATATTTGTGATGTTCCAGGTCCAGCAGGGCATCGGGAAGCCGAGCGTGTATCATGCTGTTGTGGTCATATTTCTGGAGTTTTTCGCCTGGGGTCTCCTGACGACGCCAATGCTCACTGTGAGTTATTATAGCGATTCTCATTTATATTTGAAGTTCATGTTTATCAGGATGAATGCTTCAATTATTCACTTATTATTAAGTTGTTTTGCCAAAATTCACACCAGCAGGTGTCAGTATAAAGTAGAGCTTCAAAATTAATCGTGTAAGAGATCACAAACCTGATTCAAACACCCATGTGATCTTATTCGTTAATGACAACGATTCGCCTGTGTCTTATTAAAAAATATCACACTGGATCATTCAAATCTGAGAGAGCAGTTAACATGTTTTGGTATCAAACTATTTAACAATCAACTAAAAATTAGTTTAAAAAATCAGATTACTTTTTCAAGTAACTAGTAAAGTAACGCATTACTTTTTCAATTTACAACAACATATCCAAGTTACTTTTTTAAATAAGTAACGCAAGTTACTTTGTTTTCTCATTTATTGACTGACAGCTCTCTTGTCCTCATGTTGAGACAAATCAAAGTGCAGAGGCATTATGTGTGTGTGTGTGTGTGTGTGTGTGTGTGTGTGTGTATGTGAACATGATGGTTATTGCAATTAATTAAATGAGACATTTATTCTTCTCACTTGCACACAAAAAGATTCAATATTTCTCAAAATAAATATAATCAGTGAAATGCTGAATCAGAATACTATGCAAACCTCCAATAACTAAATATGTTAAATAAAACATACATTTTTATGCATTTAATCTAATTTTGACCATTGTACTTGCTTCTGACCTTTGATGATTTAGGTAAACCGTAAGCAAAAATTACTATAGAGTTATTTATTTTTATTGGTAAAGTGTTAAATTTTTTCCTCTTGCATATTCTTCCATTATCCACAACAGCAACTGGTTTGTTTGAGCGGCGCCCTCTATTGGACACTATTGGATTATTAGTATAATCTGTAATAATCACTTAAAAAGGAGTTTTTTCTCGAGTGATATTACGCTGAAGCCACATTGGACCAGCGGTTTGGAAAATGGATGGATGGATGATTCAGCCGCGACTCACACAGTGCATTATGGGTATTCTCTATCCATTGAGTGTACATCAGTTGTATACTCATTGCGGTGCATTGTAGGATTGAATGAGTGCACTTGATATTGATAGCATCCACTATAGTTTGACACTACTACAAATGGCTGTCCCCTCAAATAGTGCCCGATATATAATATAAATAGTGTCGATATTAAATAGTTCTCCTGAAACAGACTGATTGAGTCATTGAATCATTCATTCAAGAGATTTGTTCAAAAACGGTGAGTCATCCAATAGCGAAACAAGTGAAGTGTTTTTATGAGTGAGTCATTGAATTGTTCATTCAAACTAATTTTTCCAGATAATTAGAAAGAGATAGATAGATGAATAATTTCCATTAAAAGGTACAATATGTAAGAAGTTTGTAATAAAATATCCAAAAATCACTTGCAGTTTTGTACTTGCAATATCCCAAAAGTCTCCAAAGATTTTTAATTTCAGATTTTAAATAAGTGTCCGCGGGACTCGCGTGTGAAATGTCTCTCTTTTTATTATTATTTTTTTTTATACCTTTATTTAACCAGGAGGTCCCATTGAGATTCTTTAGGAATCGCGACCTGCTTCATACCACTGTAATGTTAAAAAACATGAATGTTTGCACTCATCCATAAACATAATTAGATCCGCTTGATAGCAAGTCCCATCATTCAGCTCATCACTGCATCATCAACCTACGCCTTTGTTTTTGTTGGAAACTGCGCCCTCTTGTGGTGAAAAAAATCTTACATATTGTGCCTTTAATTTTTAGAATTAGAAAGAAACAACCATGAAGCACACATATCCAAGTACAACTCAAAAAATAAAGAAAATTAAAGAGAATAAATCCAACGCTGAAAGTTTGCCAAAGCTTAAAAAAAATTGACGAAAAGTCAAAATGAATCGTCTGATGCAGCCAGATCTCACCCTGAACAAGCTACACCCACATCAACACTGCCTGAACACAGATATAGGACTGGGAATCAAAATCCAATTCTGGAATCGGATACTTAAGGTCAGGAATAGAATACTTGTTATTAAATAAAGCGTGACACAGATCTTGTTATCGCCTCTCATATAATGCATTCAAAATATGAATAAATACTTTAGTAGAATTAAATAACACTGGTTAACAGAACACTTATGGAACTGAAATCATTCCCATCTCTGGTTTGTTGGGATGGCAAATAAGAGTCTGGAAAACAGACACATGAAACGACTTGGTGCACCTTTCATTTTGAGAAATTAATTGAATTATGTTTTATTTGGGTATTCAAATGATTCTCACAGATTCTTCATAAATGTGCATTTTTCATCTCTAGGTTTTACACGAAACATTCCCCAAACACACCTTTTTAATAAACGGCCTCATTCAAGGAGTGAAGGTAAGTGTTGTCTGTAATATATTTCACTCCTAAGTTCATCTGTGGTGGTTCCTGTCGAGATCATTTTTTGTCATTTGGTTCATCAGGGTCTGCTGTCGTTTATGAGCGCGCCGCTGATTGGTGCTCTATCAGACGTGTGGGGCAGGAGATCGTTTCTATTGGTTACCGTGTTCTTCACGTGTGCGCCCATCCCGCTCATGAGACTCAGTCCATGGTAAGACCCCTCCCGCCATGACCTCGAGCAATACGATTGGCCAGATGATAATTGTTAGAGTTAGACCAGTCATATCAGGGAATATTGTGATTATGAAAATAAAAAATCTTGTTCATATTATTAATAAGATTTTATAATATTTAATATAATTCTTTTAAATAATTTATCTTAAAAATGAAATTTTATTAGTATAGAGTAAAATTAATTTATACTTACAAATTTGCAAAACTGTATAAAACTTTTGTAGTAAAAATATATAAGGCTATTTAAATTTTTATTTTATTTTTATTTAATAAAAATATATAATATTAATAATTATAATTTAATATGAAAAAAGAAATTGTTATACGCAGCTTTGTCCAACCAGTGGTGGTGCGGATGGTACAGAAATGACACTTCGGCTTTGAAACGTTTTATCCAATAATTGCAAACAATTGGAAAATCTATGGAAATTCATTGTATAAAGTTTGCGGAGCCCTAGTCTTAAAACAACACCTTTAAAATATTCCCTCTCCGTTTAAAGGACCCCTATTATGGAAGTTAATGAAAACATCCTGCAAAGTTTTAAATCGGAAAATGCACCGTATTTTAAAGGAGTAGTTCACTTTATAAAATACTTTTGCTGATAATTTACTCACCCCCATGTCATCCAAGATGTCCATGTCTCTCTTTCTTCAGTTGAAAAGAAATTAAATGAGCGATCGTTTCGCTTGATAAGACCCTTATTCATCGTTTGGAATCGTTTAAAGCCCTTTGAACAGTTTGCAGTTTTCACTGAAACTCTCATTTGGACCTTAAACCGTTTGGACCCCATTGAAGTCCATTATATGGAGAAAAATCCTGGAATGTCTTCATCAAAAAACTTAATTTCTTTTCAACTGAGGAAAGAAAGACATGGACATCTTGGATGACATGGGGGTGAGTAAATTATCAGCAAAAGTTATTTTTAAAAGTGAACTAATCCTTTAAGTTACCGACTTTCAAAAGTAAGAGTCGACTCCAGTAGTGGAGTGGCAATCGGGAGAGACGGGAGTTTTCCCAGTGGGCCGGTAGTGTTTCGAGGCCGCGAGGGCCGGTCTGATAAAATGTATTTATTGTAGGGCTGTATTCAACCAAAGAAATCCTTAGTCGACCAAAGTCGAGTCCTGCTCGACGATTAGTCGACTAAAAAAAAAAAAAAAAAAAAAAAAAACGTGATATTTTGATTAAACATTTTTTAAACAATTGTCATTGAGCATTTATAAAACAACAACGAAAAAACATCACAAATAAATAAAACTATAATAATAATAATATAATTCTTTGAAAATTAAGTGATTTTTTAACTGCAAAAAGTGAAGAGCTCTGTCCTAGGTCTATAGTACAGTCCCAATCGCGCACCTGACCACACCACACGCTGCAAAAAATATAACTGCTATCTGCCACATAATGAAAAATCCCAACAAAAGCTCTCGTTTATACAGGCTTTATATTCTTCTTTACTTTCAAAGCTATGGGTTAACTTTAGTCCTGACGATCAAGGCGTTTTAAACAACACTCAAAAAAACCCAAATAACTTAAAAACAATCCTATAATAGGCTGTACCGCGTATAGGTTTATTTTCGTTTTGTTGCATTATTTAGGCTATTTTCAAATGCGTCAAGTGTACAAATAAAAACGAAAACATTAAGAAAACACAATCTATTGAGTCAGCATGATATAGCCGTTAAAAGGCTGCTCACGTCTTTTGCGCGCTCAAGTTCGATTTTAAATGTAGGCGCGCGACTTGCGCGCTCATAATGGCAACGCGATCGCCTCCCTCCACAGTCTTGTCGTCTTTGTTTTAAAATGCAGCCAGACAAAAGATTTATATTTCCTGGACATTTTGTCGACTAAAGCCAAAACTAGCAGCGTTCTAACAGAATGAATACAGCATCCCTTACCGAGCGCGAGCAGCAGCGCAGCCAGCCACAGGTGCGGTTCCCGAGTGTATTATGTGTGTGCGCTAAACTGTGGCGCAGTTACAAAAATAGCCTAAATTAAAGCATTTTAAAGTTGGGGACAAAACATAGGCTAATTATATTTAGAATACAGTAATAAATAACTGATTATAAATGAATAAATATCAAGGAGTAAGTCATTGAAAAATTCCTTCTATTGGTAAAAAAAAAAAAAAAAAAAAATGCAACTGGTCGACCAATAAGAATGTCAGTCGACCACGACGGCATCGACCGATTAGTCGACTAAACGACTAAAGTTGACAGCCCTAATTTATTGGAAGTTCACCATGTGCACTTGGGGCCCAAGCTAAGGGAAGAAAACATTTTTTTTTTTTACATTTTATATAACGGAGTATATATTTGCACTAAGTGCCTGTCTTTACAGCAAAAAGACGCCCGTCTTGAAACAGCTTCAGTGGCGTAGGTCGTTGGGCGTGAAGTGCTTGAATGCAGCTTTTGATGCGCTGAACGCGAGTTCGAATCCGCCTTTTGCCGAACTCTCTCTTCTCCCTTTTCCCAACACATTTGTAAAGATGTAAAATGTAAAACCTAACATTAAGATCTCTAGCGTTATATTTTGCCAACAAACTAAAACTGAAACCATGATATGGCGTTGCGCCATTATAATAACTGACATTAGAATAGCATCCAGTTTGTTCTGCGTGATTACTTTGCTCTGGCGATCATCTGGTGTTTTCTCCTAAATAAAAGCTCAAGGGTTTATTTCTTGCAAGTGAAGAAATTAGGACAAAACTATTTTAATTTTCCTATATTATAGTGTAATGTAGGTTAAAATATACTTTTGAAATACTCATTTTCATTTACATAGTACATTTATAGGCTAAATGGATTTTACAGTACGTCATAGGAATAATTATACATCATTATTATAATAAATGTTTGGCATCCTAAAACACCATTGATAATGTAATGCAGACTGAGACTCTCATAACTAAAAAGATGTTTGAGCCCTGTTTATTGTCCTGGTACCAATTAATACTTTTTCTTTGTTCAACGAGCAGTTCATGGGTTGAAGCTCTTAACTGTGATCTCTCAGAGAGCACGAGATTGATGCATTTAACCTTAAAATGTCCAAAATTTTCTTGCGGGGGAGCATGCGTGAACCCCCCTAGAGGCACAGAGTCCTCCCAACATAGTTTTAAAAATTACTATGGGAAACAACGACCATTTATGAACTTTACTCCAGCATAGTACAAGTTTCTTTTAAATCAGTAAAACTGTAAATGCTATCGGCTATTAAAATCATGCCGGCGACGAGGGCCGGTGGTCTACGAAATTGGTCCCACTCCGCCCCTGGTCGACTCTGAGTCAATGAAATGAATCAACGAGTCATAAGCCATTTCGTTGTGACGTCAGGACGGAACATTAGTATATTCAGTCCCTCCAGAAAAACGCGATTACGCGATCGCTGAATTCAATGCAAAATCAGCCAAAGTCCGCATATTTATGCGGGGGCCGCATTTTTTAAAATATGCCGCACTTTCGCCGCATAAATTGCCGATTTCCGTGCAAAATATGTGGGGTTTGCATAATTTCATAATCCTCGCATTTTCGTTGCAAAAAAAGTCACATGTATCTTAGCAGAAAGTTGAAAATGTTGCGTTTGCTTCACACAAGAGCAGCCATTTCCCCCTGTTTCCATGGGAACGTTATGAAGTGACGCAATTACGCGACGCCAGACAGACTCACGGAGGCGATTGACATCTCACAAATCGAACTCGTATAACTGTCTGTCACACGTTCTACCGTCACGTCGTTACTTAATAAACAACATAAGATAAAAGAAGTAGCACACATGGGGTGTTCGAGGCGCACATATAACACTGCAGAGAGTTCAACAAGGAGCGCTCAGCTCTTAAAGGGGCCACGCCTTAAATATCCTGCATATTCCATATCATTTTTAAAGAAAACGGGCCGCGTAATCAATCAATTTTTGCTGTTTTTTCTGGAAGGACTGAATACTATTATGGTAAATGTTATATATAAATCGCACATTTTTTCACAAATTTTTGGAAATTACCACCACAAAATCAGTCATTTTGATCGCAAAAATCACAAAAAAAAAAAAAATCGTGAAATCCTGGAGGGACTGTATATTGCCCGCCCACGTATTGCACGCGCAGACACTGGGGAAAACTTGAACCTCAAACCGGCAGCTGGTTCCTGTGGACACTGGACAGCATCATGTCGAGAAGACGCTGTGCTCTACAATGGGAAGGTAAAGCCAGTTTTTTTTCACTGCCCAAGGACGAGCATGTGAAGAATCAGTGGTTAAAATTAATCTTTACCACAATATCACTGTATGATACAGTTTCCACGTATTCACTACAATACAGTAGAAAAATGATCAGTAAGTAAATTAGTACAAGTAAAATATTGGACATGCACTTGTTAATGCCGATGGTGAAGAGTACCTCAAACCGACAGTAGTGCATCACTGAGTCGTCCTTGCGATGGAGGTTTGGGTTGAAGAACTAACATTAGCTCTTTCGGTGTTTCATCATCGGACTCGTGCTCGCATTAATATGTTCAAATCGACCTCATTGTTCGTTACTGTGTTTCATTTACAGTGTAGGAAGCCTCAGGACAAGCAGAGCTGACGTTGTTATGGCATTGGGCGTTTTTGTTTTCGACGCGTTGTACACGGTAGGCCCATCACAACAAACTGAGCTGTCTGGCCAATCAGAGCAGAGTAGCTTGCGGAAAGGAGGGATTGATTCATTTGACGAGTTGTTTGAGATTCACTGAAAATGTGACGATGTGCAAATGTATATTATGAGGAAATTAAATTGTTTTTTTTTACATTTGATGCATTTAAACATGTTGTAGGAGACTCCACAACAACTTTAAAATACCATAATAAATAAACCATTTCTTGTTGTTTTCAGGTGGTATTTTGCCATGATATCGGTGTCCGGTGCTTTTTCCGTCACTTTCTCCGTAATCTTCGCTTACATCGCAGACGTTACGGATGTGCACGAGAGGAGTACGGCGTATGGACTTGTAAGCAGCTCATTTATTAAATACTAAATGAAATATGAGTAATACGACAGGCCAAATCAGTAGGGCTGGGTAATAAATATCGATTTCTTGATACTAATCGATTCTCATTTTTACGAACCGATATCGATTCTTAAATCTCAAGAATCGATTAGTCATCCTGTTTCATTTGAATGAATGGATCATTGTGTCCAAAAAAAAAAAAAAAAAAAAAAAAAAAAAAAAAAAAAAAAAAAAAAAAAAAAAAAAAATCGCAATAATCTTTGTCCTTTGTTACTATTGATATGAAACAAAGTCTCAATTTTCAAATTACGTCCATTTTCTTTAGAAATTCAAAAACATAAATAGCGTTTTGGCGCTGTGGCGTGAGATCGCTCTGGCGCAGCTCAAGAGAAGCAGCAGCGCTGATCTTAATAATACCAGTCACAGAGCGAAATAAACATGAATGAGCATCTGAAAGTGTGTTAAAACAGAGTACAACTTATCGAAATCCGTATCATGTCACATTGATTCTCTCAATCAGCGTTTCAACCGTGGAAAGACGCCAGTTAAACAGCTTGTAATCAATGTCATGTATGGTCATATTTACCTCAGAAAACCCACATAAACTTGTTAGTCAGCTAGAAAAAATAACTCTAGAGGAGCATTTTGCTAAATATATACACTATATTACATATGCATTATAATCTTAATGTTCTTCAATATTTAATGCATATTTGAAAAAATCTGGCAAGTTTTTATGACAGCCACCATTTAAATGTTTATATTTCATATAATCTTCTTATTATAAAAATAAATAAAAGTGTAATTTAAGTGTTTGTATAGCTACAAAACAGTTCATTATTACCTACATATTAGGCTAATGAAGCCTAGTAGGCTACAACTAGACTCCCATAGTTTACAGCATTAGTTAAGAGATTTGATTTCCTTGAGAAAATTTGCCATTTATTGTAACTGATGTCCAAAATAATCAATATTGAATCGAAATCGAATCGAATTGTGAAATTTGTGTCAATACCCAGCCCTACAAATCAGTGAAGCTAATTTAGGATATTTCTATTCCCAAACTTCAACATTACCTGGATTCAGTGTCCTTGACCCAGCTGTATGGACGGAGTTACTTACATTCCTCTTTGCCTGTTTTGCCAGGTTTCTGCTACGTTTGCTGCGAGTCTGGTCACCAGCCCGGCCATCGGTGCGTACCTCTCGGCCAGTTACGGTGATAATATGGTGGTGCTGTTGGCGACCCTCATTGCTCTGGCCGACATCTGCTTCATACTGCTGGCCGTCCCAGAGTCGCTGCCCGACAAGATGAGGCTCAACACCTGGGGAGCGCCAATCACCTGGGAACAGGCCGACCCGATTGCTGTAAGGATTTACAGGATATGTTCATAAAATTGTCAAATATTATTTCGGTGACGCTTCCTTTTACAGTCCAGTTACCCATGTAAATACTATTTACTTATTTTAGTAACTACAATTACTGGGTAATAACTAGTACTAACCCTGAACCTACCCCTGTCCCATGTACTTACCTTATATTAGCCAGTACTTTCTAGGTAAGTAAACTGTAAGTACTGTACTGTAAAAGGAAGCGGTGCCATTATTTCTTTCTTTGTATTTGATTGGATCTCAGATTGGCACCCATGTTAAGGCTTTTTGGTTAAACTTAAGAATAAGGTTTCATTTATTGACATTAGGCAAGTGCATTAGTTAACAAGAACTAACAATTAAAAATACTTCTGAAGTATGTAATAATCTTAAAGGGACAGTTCACCCCAAAACATCATTTATTCACCCTCATGTTCCAAACTTGTATGAGTTTCTGTTGAACACAAAGGAAGATATTTTGAAGAATGTTGGTAACTAGACAGTTGATGGCACCCATTTTTGTCCTACTATGGAAGTCAATGGCTACATTACAGTCAAGCTTGATTACAAACAATCTTTAAAGGCGCATTGCGCAACATTTCATGTTAAAAATAGCCGTTTTTCTAACCCATACATGTTTAAACAATCGCCTGATGGGCTGAATGAGCCCTTCTCTGATCGCTGTGATTGCCTCTATAATCCTGTACAGTAAAATAAATAAGAGGGATTTGGGACGGATTTGAGACTGGGCGTGACATCATGCGGGTTCACGCTCGCCTGGCTACGTCTGGCAGGTTTGTGTATTCGCCGCCATTCTCCCTATCAGCAAAGACAACTCGAGCGACACAACTTTAGTCAACTTTCGACAAAAGTAGAAGATTCAAAGAGACCGGCTTGTAGTTCATTCCAAACCCCAACGCAAACTCCACGTAAGACAAATAAACTTTTGTCTAGTGCCAGGCATCGGAATAAGATGAGAGTCGACATCGGGAAGCTTTCAACAAATGGAGAGATCTCTGGTCGGCTCTAGGGCTCAAACGGATCCTATACAAAGTAATAACTTATATTGTTCATAAAAAAAACAAAGTTAATTTACTCAAATGCCTTTCCTTTCATATTTAAAAGGACTTGCAGATTTATAACTTTATTACCTCTGAAGACAATATGACTGTAACAAAAGATTTGTGTGGCTGATGCTCCTTTGGTTATGGACCGCTCACGTAAGCGCGTGTGTGTGATCCATGAGCTTGCACTCCTGGTTGCAGTTTCGCTTGTCGCCAGAGGGGGCGTAGTTCTCAGAGACTTCAGACTTGCGTAATGCACCTTTTAAAATATCTTCTTTTGTATTTAACAGAAGAATGAAACTCATACAAGTTAGGAATTTTCATTTTAGGGTAAACTATCCTTTTAATGCAAATTTTAACATTTACCAATACATTATTGAAATTAAAAATGTGTATCTGTTAAATTAATTAATTCATCATGTTAGCTCAACTCCATGAAATATAATTAATTATATTTCATGGAGTTGAGCTAACATAATGAATAGTTCAAGTTCTATGAACTAATTTAATAAATACTGTAATAAATAGAGTTAATGCATTACTATAATGACCTTATAAAGTCTTAACTTAAATCCTGATATAGAAGACTTGTGTTTACCGAGATCCTGGACGATTTATTGTTGATGTTTGTGTTTTTCACAGTCTTTGCGGAAAGTTGGACAGGACACAACCGTTCTTCTCATTTGTATAACAGTATTTCTGTCCTATCTGCCCGAGGCGGGTCAATACTCCAGCTTTTTCCTCTACTTGCGTCAGGTAAGGATTCTTGGGTTTGTAATGAACAAATGTGACGAATCTATATTTAATGTTCCCATATTAAACCAGCTGTCTGCGTCCATTAAACTTTAATTAGCAGCTCATCCTGCAGGGCGGTTTATGCAACAACCGAGTGCTTGTTTTCACTGTTCGCTATTGTTTAACACTCCGATTCATTTGCTCGGAGGGTGTTGCACTTAATACTGGAAGTGTTTTAGCGGCAACACGCTTCGAATTAAGTAAACAGTAAACAAAAACACTATCATACTGCTCATGCAATATGCAAATGTGTGCATGCATGAAGACCACACAATTTTGCCAATAAATGTATTAATTTCTTCCAAAAAAAAAAAAAAAACTTACTGAACCCACACACATGTTATAACTGGATTTCACTTGCTTAATTAAATATGCAATGTAACGAGGTCATGTGACAAGAAAGACTGCGTTCTATAGATTTCTATTTCACATACTTATCAGGTTCCTTAGGAAGTTCCAGGTTTATGTGGACTGTTAGTGGCATCCTGTCTGGCTGTTCAGTTCAGTTCAATGACGGCTCATTACTGGACATAACAGAGTTAATTCGATTCAGGCCCAGTGGTGCAGACTGATAGCAATGTGGCTCTTTCTCTGTGTCTCTCAGGTCATTAACTTCTCGCCCAAAACGATCGCTGTGTTCATCGGCGTTGTGGGAATCCTCTCCATTCTGGCGCAGGTATTTAATTGAGGCAATATTCTTCGCTCTGCCTTATTACTTGTGTCGTTGAGCTGGAAACGCATCTTGGGAAAGTGGCTCTCACAAACGCTTTCTAATTGAATTGAATTCCTTTAAAAGTTCAACGGTAAATGTAATGAAATATAGGCAGAGCTGTAATGAGCAGATAGCACTGCTGCACTAGCTGGTTTGATGTTTTATTTTTAGCAACCGAGGTGGATTCTAACATTTTTTTAATTCAATACAATGTAGCAGTGAAAACGATGAAGTTTCAGTCCAATAATAACAGCCCTGCACCTGGGGAAACAAATCTGCAGATTGTGGCCTACTCTTGATGATGCGGAGTAAAACAAAAATTACAACCAAATTATTTTTCATATTATATGTACAGTACGCATCAGCTTTGATGCACTTATCAAAATGACTAAAGCAGTGAAGTATTAAAACTTTTGGTTTTAATGACAATTATTCAAAATGTATCATTAAACGGCTTAAATGTGTAAACGTATCATTAAACAATCTGCAAAGGAGTGGAAAAATGTTCAAACAGTCTATAAATAAATATAAATACAATTTTCTAAAGCAGATAAAGCAGAAAACATGCATTTTCTTCTGTCACTGGTAGGGTTGGGTATCGAGAATCGAGTATCGATTGGAACCGAGACTAACTTTTCGTTTTTCCCGGAATCGTTCAAAAGTTCAAATTTCGATTCCTAGTTTCGATATTCACAGTCCGCCGAGCGGAAGAAGAAACCGCTGAACAACACCAACGAAGAAGCGTCTACCGGAAGTGTTGGCATAACCGCGCGAGTCGAACATGAGTATCTTACGTCGGCGGTCCAAAGTGTGGCTTCACTTTTCTAAAAATAACGAAATCTCTGCAAAATGCAAAATTTGTGACAAAAGGAGTATTTTTACAGAAGGAGTATTTCCTTCAGAAAGGATTATTTCCTTCAGAAAGGCCGTTGGTTAGCATGGTTAGCTAAACTTTTTTGACCCTGCCTCTTAAAAGAATCGGAATCGAGAATCGTTAGGAACCGGAATCGAAACAAGGAATCGGAATCAGAATCGTTCAAATTCAAACGATACCCAACCCTAGTCACTGGCCATAATTCTAACCTTGAAATCAGGCTGTTGAAATGCACACAATGTATTGTATTTTTTTTAAATCAGCAACCCCAAAATTAAATTATTGGATTTAATTCAGCAAATATGATGCAGGACGGTGTAATTATTGATTCCCTTGTGTTTCCCTTGTGTACAGACGCTTTTTCTTACTTTATTAATGAGGACCATCGGGAATAAGAACACAGTTCTTCTGGGTCTGGGTTTCCAGATTCTCCAGCTGGCCTGGTACGGTTTAGGGTCCGAGCCGTGGTGAGTTACAGTCTATCTAGATCAAGATAAATGACCTGCTTGTGCAAACGTTACTTAACGACTGTCTGGTTCAGGAAGAGTGAGTCACGTGATGTTATTTGTTGTCATATAGGATGATGTGGGCGTCCGGTGCGGTGGCAGCCATGTCCAGCATAACGTTCCCTGCAGTGAGCGCTTTAGTGTCACGGAGTGCAGATCCAGATAAACAGGGTAAAGTCTGATATGCAAACTTTCACAATTTCAAAACTTTTGAAAAACAAACACTTTTTCTTTAAAGGGGACCTATTGTGGGCTTTGATTTTGTTTTGGGGATCTACTAGATTGAACGTTCAAAAACACCTTATTTCCCCCATATTGTTGCAGCTCATCTCTTCCCACACCCCATTATAGAGTCACATTTTCATTTCTTGTTGGTTTTGACAATCTCAGCGATCAAGAGCTTATACTGTAAATATAAGCTGTGTGTTTTATTACCTTAGGTCTGGTTCAGGGCATGATAACAGGAATCCGGGGTCTCTGTAACGGACTGGGTCCTGCGCTGTATGGCTTAGTTTTCTTCCTTTTTAACGTCGAGCTGAGTGGAATCACCACCATCGAACCCGAATACGCCATCCCTGAACAGGCCCCCATAGAGGTACATGCTCCATTCAAACACCTTCACACTCAGTCTGTCTGTTTTACAGGAAGAGTTTGCAATGGATTCATTAATTCATTTGCATCATCACTCAAAAGCACTCAAAAATGTTTCCTTTTTTTAATGTAAGTATTGAATCTATTTGGGTACAATGATTTTGTTTTAAATGATTATATATATATATATATATTATTAGTGCTGTCAAATGATTAAAATATTTAATTAATGTCATAGTTAACTCGCAATTAATCACACATTTTTATCTATTCTAAATGTCTCTTGATTTCTTTTTTTCTCATTTTAATGCTCTTATCACCATGGAAAAGAGGATTGGCTTGCTTTGTGCAAATGTTTTTTTTTATTGAAAACAACACTTTCCTGCTGGAACAACCCCCCTCAGCCTGACTGAGTGGCAAAAGATCTGCTGCGTGACTGGATTTAATAGGGGAAACTGCGAAAATGCGACTAAAACGAACAATTTTATCAATTTAAACTAAATGTTGGGCTCAATATAGTGTTCCTTACAACTTGCTAAAGATCCAGTGATCCATGGATATTGACATGCAGCCAGGAATTGTGTTGCCTGACATTTATGTTTGCCTGATTTCGACACCGGGGGAATAAAAGCAATATAGTCCTAAACATAAAGCAAATTTGCCTGTGAACGCTTTATATAAATACAAGGTAGGTCTAAATTCGGGTGATCACTTCTATCAGTGTTATATATAGCCTATATATATATATGGGGGGGGGGGGGGCAGTGTTTTTAAAAAAATCATCCAATAATGCAGAATATGCAATGATATATATATTAACAACTCATCAATTAAATATTTAACAATACAAAATATATGGGTGTGGTTTTACACCTAAATTCAGCATATTGACACAAAATGATAACTGCAAATCCACCTTTGGCTGACTGGAGTCCAGTTGTTTCTGTGAATTGCAGCGATCCATTTTCTCCTCTTTCTATAGCAGTCCGTAAAAATATACCTCCGATTTGTTGTCAAATCTAGTTGTCGCAGTCAATCGCAAAGCTCTGCCACACTTTATATGTGTTGTGTTTGTATTTCGTGGCATTCACGCTGAAAACAAATACAGCCGTTCAGTGTTTTTGCCACTCACTGCGAGTAACTGCAGGCCGACGGTGACATCACGCGCATACCCTCTATACTGAGTTCAATTTCACACTAACATTCACTTGGAGCAAATAATCTCTCACACAATGTAACACTGTCCATCAATAAAAGGGTAAAAGAAATACTGACGAGGTCCTGATATTGACGAGGGGGCTGAGAATTCACATCAGCTGTGTGTTTGTGTACTTGGCCATCATCAAGCGGTGTTTCATACTAGACGTGCTGTGATGATGATGGCTCAGTTCACAACGAAAAAACACACAGATCACTTTGGTCTTGTCAATTGAACCATTTGGCAACTTTTAAAAGTAAACTTTCCATTCAGAATCTTATTGGCGTCCATTTCGGCATCTCGCGCTCATCATCCACTCAAATCGTAACGTTAACCAACCATTTGGCCGCCTCGCAAACCCAAACGAGTGTGCGGCGTGCGGTCTCCGCTTGCGCTTTGGTCAACGAAGCAACAAAAACGTCCTCGCAAAAGTTGCTAAAGCATGTGAAAAAAAAAACTACTAAGTTTGCTAGGCCAAAAAGAATGTTAATCGGTCGATTAAAAAAAATGTACGCCGTTAAAATGGGTTTGCGTTAACACCGTTAATAACTCGTTTAATTGACAGCCCTAATATATATATATATATATATATATATATATACAAATCACTCATTAGCTGATACTGTAGATCATAGATCATTGATGGCTAGGGTTGGGTATCGAGAATCGATTGGAACCGAGACTAACTTTTCGTTTTTCCCGGAATCGTTCAAAAGTTCAAATTTCGATTCCTAGTTTCGATATTCACAGTCCGCCGAACGGAAGAAGAAACCGCTGAACAACACCAACGAAGAAGCGTCTACCGGAAGTGTTGGTATAACCGCGCGAGTCGAACATGAGTAGCTTACGTCAGCGGTCCAAAGTGTGGCTTCACTTTTCTAAAAATAACAAAATCTCGGCAAAATGCAAAATTTGTGACAAAAAGGAATATTTGTGACAGAAGGAGTATTTCCTTCAGAAAGGCCGTTGGTTAGCAAGGTTAGCTAAACTTTTTTGACCCTGCCTCTTAAAAGAATCGGAATCGAGAATCGTTAGGAACCGGAATCGAAACAAGGAATCGGAATCAGAATCGTTCAAATTCAAACGATACCCAACCCTATTGATGGCATCATCTACCATATTACCTCCTCAAATGTTGATTTCTTTTCACATTTTTTTGCGTAGAAGACATTGATCCCTGGTCCTCCGTTCCTCCTGGGCGCCTGCACGGTAGTGGTGGCGTTTATAGTCGCTCTCTTCATACCGGATCAGCAGTCACCACCAGCGACTCCCTGCCAAACCAGCAAGAGCAACGCGAGTCTGGCCGGAGCCCACACCAACACGCCGCTGCCGGGGAGCGACGAGGACTTCGAACCGCTGCTGGAGGACAGCACTGTGTGACTGTAACTCTCAACCCAAATCGTGTTTGGGAAAAAGAAAAAAGAAAAAACATCGCAAACCCTCCACCTGTCCAGCGACTACCGTTTGGGAGCGAGCTGTATTTATCGAGTGTGTTTAATCAGATTTTTGTTGTTTTAATGAAACGGTTATTAGTTCTGAACTCAGAGGCTTTTTTATTGACCATTTTTACAGTGTTTAACAGTCAGTGTACAAATGCATCAACACTAAGGGCTCGATCAGTGGGATTGGATGCGCTGTGGTGGAGTTTGGACGATGGGTTTGTTGGATTCTTCTGGAGTTTGAATGCAAAGCTCTTTATGTATATAGATATTTGGGCAACGTGCAGCAAAGGTTATTGTTTATGGAGCTTGTGGTGACTTGAAGCTTATTGTTACTCTCGTAAGATTGAAGAAAATCTGGATGAATTTCATGAAAACAGGGTCATTGCGACTGACTAGTGGTGGGCGGTACGACCAAAATCCTATTTCATGATGACAATATAAATCACTTCATAGTCATTTTTGTTATTTTATTTGATTTTTGATATTGAAAATAAGAACAAAGTAGCAAATTACAAACAATAGGACAAATACAATATAAACTAAAATATTTTTTTCAGGTACAAACAGATGTAAAAGATAACATACACAATAGTCTTCACTATATGAATTAAATAGAAATGTGTTATTATTAAAGCGACAAAAGTTATTCAGTTGATAGCAGTAAGATATTTTCTCTTTTGTTTGATTAACATTAAGAATACAAAGATTAGCAGGTTTATTAGGCTGCTGTCTCTTTAAGACGAAACGCATGGATCCATTAAACTGACACATCCAACTTTGAGACATTACTGGCTGTGTTTACATGAATACTCCACAGTTGTGTGTGTATTCGACCATTCGAGTGCAATAAGACGTGAAAGAGAACTGAATACATGATCATATGCTGAGAGACGCATTGAGACCTTTTCAGATTATTGCGCTTTATATCATGTTTTAACATCAAGCACGTCCCGAATTTGCGATCGCCTTGAGAGAGGCAAGTGCGCACACTTAAACAGTAACAGTTATTTTTCACAAATTATTGCTCCTATAAACCCTTTTTGATATCAAGCATGCCATGCGTTTCATAACTAAAGTGTCGCTATATATTTACATACAGTGAGTTACACAATATAGCAAAATCTCTAATGATTACTATCGCCACGATAAATTTTACCGCCCAAACCTAATTGCAACCTGAAAGAAAATAAACTTATTTTTAGACTTTTCATGATATTATTTGCATTACAATTAATCACATTTCCCCCTTCTAAAAATAGGCTTCATTTGCATACATTTCTGCATCTTCTTGACAGATTTCATGAGATTCACCCTAATAGAAGTTGAGATGAATACGCTGACTGTATTTGATGAAAGTTCTGCAGTGATTGCGCAAACTTTCTTTATAAAAGCCTTAAAGTCACACATCCTGTGGCGTTTGACAAGGTTTTAATAGATTAGAGATGCATCCGGTTGCAAGTGCATGAACTGTATTTGTGGCGATGTTAACCAAACCCAAGACACTAGAGCACCAGTGGTTTGGTGTATGCTAACGTAATTCTTTAGGCCATTTAGTTATATCATACGGACACGGCTTGATTGTGAAGTTTTTCATGAATTGTGAGCGTGTGTGTGTGAGTAAAGGTTCTATGCAGTAGTGTCGGTAATGATCAAAAATGGCATTCAATTTTTAAAAAAAATGTAATGTTGAGTAAAGTGGGTGTTTAAAATCACAATATTACAGTATTGCTTAAAATATAACATTGGTATAAGTGAAATTTTACCTCAATTTGAACTTTCAAGAAAAGAACTGGCATTGTGCATTTGTTGAGCTATTGCACTCAACAATATGCATTTCCTTTTACTAAAAGGATAATTATTAATAATTAGCCAACATCTACGTACCAGCTACCTCGTTTTTGGAGGTTTCGATGATTTTGAGGAATGAGATTCGATCTGAATATATTTTTTATCTGCAGTTTTTTTTGTACAGCCACATTGCATTTTCAATATGGGATTTTGGAATTTTTTCCAAGGTCGTTCTATTAGAATGATAGAAGAATCTCATTAGTTTGTTCATGAATTCCATATTTTCTTATACTGTGGAGATGCTTTATATTTCCCAAAGGGCCTCAGTCTGTTTTGTGTGAAGAACACTGTGGAGCATCGCATAGTTTGAGGTCATCAATCATTAGACTGACCTGCACTCATTTCCTGTTCCACATGCGCATCATTTCCTCCACTTCCAGCATTCCATTCAAATACTGCAGTATTCTACTTGGAACCCCTCTGGTGACCTGCGAATCAGACAGAAACAGTGAACAGAATGTGAATTTTTGCTTCTCCGCCCTTGACCCTTTCCATGTGTTTTGCATCATTTCGGCCATATTTATCATGCAGTGAAAACGATGTGAAACTTTCTTTGTAGAGCTTGAAATTGCGCTGGCATGTGTTTTTATTAAAAAAGGGTAATTGCTGCTTTTTAAGTCACAATTCTGACTTTTTTCCTCTAAATTCTGCATTTGTGGTGTTTTTTATTCACTGTTTCGAGTTTCACAACTCTTAGAAAAAAGTCAGAATTGTAAGTTATACAGTCACAATTGCGAGATATAAACTTGCAATTCTGAGGAAAAGTCAGAATTACATTTTTTTATTCTGTGGCGGGAATGAGCTTCCACGAGTTCCCGCGCTTTTGAGTTGTGTTTGTAGCCTCGTGCAAGCACACACAGCTTGTTTTAAAATGTAATATAACGACGATCATATTCATTATTTTAGGATTGTAAAGTATTGTATTGAATAGTACAGATCAACTTTTACCTGTTGCCAGACCCGCAATATTCTTCTTTTTTAAACAAACGTGCAGCTCCAAATAAAGCCAGTCGATTTTGGGCTCGTCAGGAAGCGCGTCACGTGTTCACTCGCGTGTTTTGCTTTCCCTTTTTGAACATGTCAAGTATTTGTGTATCTTAACGGGATACACACGGTGCCTGAAGTAACATGTTCGTTTGTAGTAGGCCTATCTTGAGTCTTACTGTAAATACAGAGTAAACTGAGCAGCTGATGAAAGATGAAATGTACAGGGACCCTTATGTATTTATTGTCATGTATTGTGGGAATATTCAAATAGGTGCAAAAGAATAAAGAACACTAAGAGTCATTTCGTGATTTCAGTTTCTTTCTGCATTGTTTCTCTTCACCGTTAGATGGCGCTGTTGCGCTACTTGCGTTCTGGGATTTCTGAACACTTCCCTTGTTTTTGACTTTTACCATGGCAATGACATGATGTGGATATGGTAATATAATGTAACTGTTTTAGTTCATTATCACAATTAGTGCCATATAAATAACTAGTATGCAGTCTTTAACAATAAAAATGTGCAAATGTTACTGTGTACATCATGCATGGAAATACTTGCATATCTACTGTATAAATATTCCAAATGCACGATTATCCTCTGTGGATAAAAGTGTCTGCTAAATGCATAAATGTAGGCTACATTTCTCATTTTCAACCAATTAACATGCAATATACTCCTGTCCAATAACAGTAAATCAATGTAATGTAACAGATGCAAAGCCATCAAATGTTCTTTAGTGTATGCTTATGAAATCCCCAAGTCTCAGATTTACCCTTGTCTCCTCTGGATGGCAGTGTTGATGTATCTCGGAGATGTCTGACTGATGCTGAACCCTTGAGATCTCATCATAATAGCCTCAGCTCAGTATCTAAACACCTCAACTAAGTGTTTCAGGCGCAGTTCAGTTCAATGATGCTACAAAACCCTCCTCTGGTGTAAATGCTGCTGTCCACAACAGTTTAATAAAAAATCAACTAAAACCAATACACATTTCTTTTCACTAACCTGAAAATTATCAGTTAGATTATACGATTTGGCTTTCACATTGGTAAATGATTAGGACTACCATTAATATTAAAGCGATAGTTCATCCAAAAACGAAAACTGTCATTAATTACTCGCCTTCATATCGTTTCAAACCCGAACTTCGAAGATCTTTTTGGTGAAATCTGATTCTGTCCCTCCATTGACAGCTACACAGCTGACACTTTGATACTTAACCCTCATGCTGCATTAGGGACATTTTTGGTCTTTTGCAGTTTAATTTCTTTGACCATTTTGGCTGTTTTAATGCAAATGGTATGAAATTTGGCAAAATTGTGACTTTTTGGATACATGTAAAAAATGTGATCCCATTTTGCAAAATATGTATAACACACACTGTGTAGATCAAATAGTAACACTCAGCACCATAAAGACCAAAAATGGCCCATTGAAACCCATTAAAACGTTGTTTAAATCTGAGGCTGTCAGTAATACATGAAACATGATTTTTGCACAAACATCCTTTCATTTTGAAGCAAAAGCATTATATTTGCATTATATAGTGTATTCCACCAGATGACGTCACTACATATTTATTCCCTATGGGTGGAAATGCACCTTATTTTAGGCAATAGGCAATGTTTAATAGGTGGCCATTTTTGGTCTCTAACGCGCTAAGTGGGATTTTTTGCAAAGTGGGACTGTGATAATCCAAATCTAAAGTTTTCTCTTTGCATTTAGTTTATTGAAAATAATTGAATTTTTGTGTTTTTTCCTCTTATACAAATCGATGGTTTCGCAAACAAAACTGGTAATTAAAGGGTTAAAATCCTGAAATTGAATACATTTTTGGTAGTTATGATGAGGACTGATGCTGGTTAAAAGATTTAACTTGGTAAAAGTGGAAAATAATAATAATATATAATATTTTAGGCAATGTTTAATATGTGGCCATTTTTGGTCCTTAATGCACTCAACGGTGTTAAAAATCTAATGCAGCACAAGGGTTAAAAAGTTAATAGAAATATTGTAAAATGAATCCATATGAATTGAGCGGTTTAGTCTAAAGATTTCTGAAGAGACTCAATCACTGTATATGATGTACAGATTTAATTAAGGCTTTTATTCACATATTGATCAGTGAACATAAAACAGAAGCTCAACCAAACCTGGTTGACGCACAAGAACAAAATCTGGAATGAACCTCATTGGTTCTTGCTGAAGCTCAAACATGATGAGTAACACGAGAATGAACCTCATTGGTTCTTGCTGGGTGGAGTAACCCTTTAATATGGTCAATAATCAACATGGCAAGTGTACATGCACACAAGCATGATAATACTTGACAGATTTAGTTAATACACTTCAATACTCTTCGATTAATTTAACATCTTTTGACACTGTGCATTCTATCACACATCAGTGTAGCTCATAAATATTAATGGTTGTAGTTTTGACATGCTTTCACAGGAGTAGTGAATGGATAAATTATTCTGAATGGGTTTTATTCATCAGCTCAAAGGTCACATCACTGTGATTCTTGAGGAGAATGTTCTCACTTTCACCCTAGTGCACTTGCTAGAGCACACTGATGATGCAATTACACCTTTACAGTGCCTTTATGGCCCATCCAAAGGCTTAATCACGCCCTGTCCGAGTGGAGTTTTGGTTCAAGGTCTTTTATGACTATGCTACACTATATGAGTGGTTAAAATGATCATTGTGGCATCATTTACTCACCCTCATGTCTTCCAAACCTATGACTTTCTTCCTTCTGTGAAAGAAAGAACAAGAGAAAATTAGCAAAATGTTCCCAATTCAATGATAATTAATGAGGATATTACAAATATGAAAAATCACTGTAAAAGCACCATTACAGTAGCTTTAGCTTGTGCTCTACATGTTACTTTAAGTCCTCTGAACTCATATGATAGTGGGGAACAGACCAAAGTTATTAGTTAAAACTCTTTAGATCGAAATAGCCAATACAAGTTGTTATTCTCTGATGCTTTCTTCTTTCCACCATATATCTTGCAAATCTTCGTTGCATTTTTGTATATTTAAATTCAGCAGCATAGAAAACCTTTATAAAGAAAATGCTTGATGTATCTGAATGCATTAAGACGGTGGCTATTGGACGACCAAATTCAGTACCTTTCTAATAAAACATATAAAGTACAAGCAAGCACACAGAACTTAAAACGCAACACGATATTCATATTCAGGGTTTATCTTCTTACCTGTAGGCTTATAGTGTGGATAATCAATAAGGTGCATATTGAATTTCTTTTATAATTTTATAGTCTTAAAGGATTAGTTCACTTTTAAAAAAAACTTTTGCTGATAATTTACTCACCCCCATGTCATCCAAGATGTCCATGTCTTTCCTTCTTCAGTCGAAAAGAAATGAAGGTTTTTGATGAAAACATTCCAGCATTTTTCTCCATATAATGGATTTCAATGGGAACCAAACGGTTCAAGGTCCAAAAGACGCTTTCAGTGCAAACTGCAAACTATTCAAAGGGCTTTAAACGATTCCAGAAGATGAATGAGGGTCGGATCAAGCGAAATGATCGCTCTTTTAATAAGCTCAAATGGTCGAATCCTTTTCCGAGTCGTTTGGTTCATTCAACGAACGAAACGAACGAATTGACTCGGAAAAAGATTTCTTGGGCGAAATCCATTAGCAATCCATGTATTTGGAAGATTTTTCATGAGGGCGTTTTAAAAAAAAAGTGACATTGTTCTCGCAATTGTGATTTTATCTCAAAATCTTTTAAAATAATTTCGCAATTGCAATGGAAAAATTGATAAACTCACAATTGCGAGAAAAAAAAAAATCAATTACAAGTCACAATTTTTATTCCATGATGGAAACAAGCTTCCCTAAATATGAGAAAGATCGTGAAGTAAACGGATCGGATGCTAATAAATCGATAATATCGTGTGGTTTCAGAAGAACGAGTCACATGCACTACTATCTTAGTCTCTGTATGGTGTTGAAAAGAGCAGCATGAACACAATAAAGTCATGCATGACGACAGTCACGACACAAGGTACAGTAAATGATGACAGAACGTTCATATCTGCACTTGAAGGACAGAGAGGATCTGCTCTGTTTGATAGTGTGAGCACTGCATTCTGGGAGGACTGCTCCTGAAGGTATATTGTTCATCTTGTCTTAAACTGAGCAGATGAAGCCCTCTCGCTGTTTCCTGAACGTCTGAGCTTATCTGCTGTGTCAGGACCGAGGATGACTTCAGCTGTGCAAACCGCAGTGTGTGTTGCTCGAGGAAGATACTGTACAGGCACAGGACGGCTGCGTTAAACCCCTACAGAGGACTCGCTATGACGGCATGACTGTATGCAGTGTGTGTTTAACATAAAGACACGTGTCAGTTCTGGGACGGAGTACTATTCATTTATTTCCATACAGAGAAAACATGGGAAATGTTATATAGAAAAAAGAATTATGCATGCTCAAAACACACAGCTTATAATGCTCATTAGCTCAATAATGCTTTAATAAGAAATAATATCACATGGAATTTAATTTACACACACACTGATTAAATCAAGAAAAAAATACATTATGCAAAATCACTGGGTCAGACTAAATATTGAGCCACTGAAAATATCAATGAAATGTCAGAAATTGCCTGATTACTACTTCCTTTCTCTTATAATTTTGTATTATTAATATTATCCTTGTTGCTTTTGCTATTTTTATTTTATATTTCATTTGGCAATTGATATAATTATAATATAATGTAATATACAACATATTAAAATATACCATATTCAAAATTGTATTTAATATTTAATAATTTGTGTTCAGATTTAGGATTATTATTAATATTATCCTTACTACATATTTATGTTTTTTTTACCACATTGGGAAGATTTTGTGTTTAAAATATATCTTGTATAATATTCAGTAGCGTATATTAAATGTTACATATAGTATTAAATATTATATTTGATATTTAATATATTTATTCATTTATCTCAAGAATGATTCATATATTAATAGTCCTCACTAGATTTTTTTGAATCATTTTTGTTTACCTTACTGGCATAATTATTTGATAAAATCAGACACTATATTGAAAATCATTTATATAAAATACTTTATATTTAATATGATATAAGATCTCTTTTAATAAGCTAAACATAAAATAAAACAGAATTCTTTATAGAAAGATTTGTATTTACTGTAAATTAATAAAACCAGTTCTAATTGTAAAGGTCTTGATATTGAAACAAGAAAATATCTAATAATAATAATAATTCAGTGAAGAGCTTTATGAAGAAA